AGCCAATAGTTGTTAAGATTTTTGTTTCCCTAGAACTTTGTAAATGTTTTCTAAAGATCGCTAGAACACTACAGGCAGTTCCCAATTTATGAAAGAATTGTATTCTTAGATTTACATTTTTTGGCCGGGTGCGGTGGCTCACGCCTGTAATCCTAGCACTTTGGGAGGCTGAGGTGGGTGGGTCACCTGAGGTCAGGAGTTCAAGACCAGCCTGGCCATCATGGTGAAACCCCAGCTTTATTATTATTAATTTTTTTTGAGATGAAGTTTCGCTCTTATTACCCAGGCTGGAGTGCAATGGCGCGATCTCGGCTCACCACAACCTCCGCCTCCTGGGTTCAAGCAATTCTCCTGCCTCAGCCTCCCGAGTAGCTGGGACTACAGGCTGTGCCACCATGTCCAGCTAAATTTTGTATTATTAATATAGATGGGGTTTCACCATGTTGACCAGGATGGTCTCGATCTCTTGACCTAGTGATCCACCTGTCTCGGCCTCCCAAAGTGCTGGGATTATAGGTGTGAGCCACTGTGCCCGGCCGAAACCCCATATAAAAAAAAAAAAAAAAAAAAGATTTACATTTTTTTGGGCCAGGCGCAGTAGCTCATGCCTGTAATCCCAGCACTTTGGGAGGCTGAGGCAGGTGGATCACCTGAGGTCAGGGGATAGAGACCAGCCTGGTCAACGTGGTGAAACCCCATCTCTACTAAAAATAGAGAAATTAGCTGGGCATGGTGGCTTACACCTGTAATCCTAGCTACTCGGGAGGTTGAGGCACAAGAATTGTTTGAACCCAGGAGGTAGAGGTTGTGGTGAGCTGAGATCGTGTCATCCAGCCTGGGCAATGAGTGAAACTTCTCAAAAAAAAAAAAAAAAATTGGCTGGGTGCGGTGGCTCATGCCTGTAATCCCAGCACTTTGGGAGGCCGAGGCGGGTGGCTCACGAGGTCAAGAGATCGAGACCATCCTGGTCAACATGGTAAAACCCTGTCTCTACTAAAAATACAAAAAATTAGCTGGGCACGGTGGCGCGTGCCTGTAATCCCAGCTACTCAGGAGGCTGAGGCAGGAGAATTGCCTGAACCCAGGAGGTAGAGGTTGTGGTGAGCCGAGATCGCGCCATTGCACTCTAGCCTGGGTAATGAGAGTGAAACTCCGTTTCAAAAAAAAAAAAATTGAGGTATAACACATATATAATATATGTACAGTAAAAGGCGCTAATTTTAAATGCTTAGCTTGATGGTTTTTTTTTTTTTTTTTTTTTTGAGACAGAGTTTCGCTCGTTACCCAGGCTGGAGTGCAATGGCGCGATCTCGGCTCATCGCAACCTCCGCCTCCTGGGTTCAGGCAATTCTCCAGCCTCAGCCTCCTGAGTAGCTGGGATTACAGGCGCGCACCACCGTGCCCAGCTAATTTTTTGTATTTTTAGTAGAGACGGGGTTTCACCTTGTTGACCAGGATGGTCTCGATCTCTTGACCTCGTGATCCACCCGCCTTGGCCTCCCAAAGTGCTGGGATTATAGGCGTGAGCCACCGCGCCCGGCCAGCTTGATGGGTTTTTAAGTATGTATATATCCTGGTAAGCAATGAACTAGATGCAGGTATAGTACCCAGAAGGCTCCCTCGTGCTCCTTCCCAGACAAAAAACTCTCTCACAGGTAACATTTATTCTGAATTCTTATCATCAGAGGTTGGAGTTTTAAAATACCTTTTTTTTTTTCTCCCGAGATGGAGTCTTGCTGTGTTGCCCATGCTGAAGTGCAGTGGCACAATCTCTCGGCTCACTGAAATCTCCACCTCCCAGGTTCAAGCAATTCTCCTGCTTCAGCCTCACGAGTAGCTGGAATTACAGGTGTGTGCCACCAGGCCCAGCTAATTTTTCTATTTTTTAGTAGAGACGAGGTTTCCCTGTGTTGGCCAGGCTGGTCTCAAACTCCTGACCTCGTGATCTGCCCGCCTCAGCCTCCCAAAGTGCTGGGATCATAGGCATGAGCCACTGCACCCAGCCTTGAAATAACTATTTTAAAAGAAAATAAATCAAATGTAATTTATTTATTTTTTTATTTGAGACAGGGTCTCACTCTGTTGCCCAGGCTGGAGAGAAGTGGCACAATCACGGCTCACGGCAACCTCAGCCTCCTGGGCTCATTTGAATCTCCCACTTCAGCCCCTCCAGTAGCTGGGACTACAGGCACATTCCATCACACCCAGCTGACTTTTTTTTTTTTTTTGAGACAGACTTTTGCTCTTGTTGCCCAGGCTGGAGTGCAATGGCACAATCTCAGTTCACCATAACCTCTGCCTCCCGGGTTCAAGCAATTCTCCTGCCTCAGCCTCCCGAGTAACTGGGATTATAAGCATATGCCACCATGTCCAGCTAATTTTTTTGTATTTTTTAGTAGAATATAAACAAAACCTATTTGATCTTGCAAAATCTTTTTATTTAAGATTAACTCAAGTTCATTGTTTTAATAAGATGACTCAATGTCATTCATAAACATCGACATTTATAAATGTGTTCATTATGCATGTCAAATGTTTGGGTAAAAAAGGCAGAAAAACAGAAAAATAAAGAAAAAGAAAATAAATTAAGTGAACATACAAAAAATAGATGTTGTGTTGAGATAGGGTTTCACTCTGTTGCCTAGGCTGGAGTGCAGTGTCACGATCTCAGTTCGAGTGATCTTCCTACCTCAGCCTCCCAAGTAGCTGGGACTATAAGCACATGCCACCATCCCTGTCTAATTTTTGTGTTTTTTGTAGAGACTATTTTACCATGTTGCCCAGGCTGGTCTCGAACTCCTGAGCTCAAGCGATCTGCCTGTCTCAGCCTCCCTAAGGGCTGGGATTACAGGCATGAGTCACCATGGCTAGCCTGAAATTTAATTATTCTTTTTAAAGGTGTCATATATAGGCTGGGCGCGGTGGCTCAGGCCTGTAATCCCAGCACTTTGTGAGGCCGAGGGGGGTGGATCACGAGGTCAAGAGATCGAGATCATTCTGGCCAACATGGTGAAACCCCGTCTCTACTTAAAATATACAAAAATCAGCTGGGCATGGTGGCACACACCTGTAGTCCCAGCTACTTGGGAGGCTGAGGCAGGAGAATCGCTTGAACCAGGGAGTCAGAGGTTGCAGTGAACCGAGATCGTGCCACTGCACTCCAGCCTGGTGACAGAATGAGACTCCTCTGTCTCAAAAAAAAAAAAAAAAAAAAAGGCGTCATATATATGCCAGAAAAGCAGGATCCTGAAGTAATAGAAAAATACTTCCAAACAGCCTTTGAAGCACAAGTTCTTTAACATATGAATTTTTTTTTGAGATGGAGTCTTGCTCTGTTGCCCAGGCTGGAGTGCAGTGGCACAGTCTCCACTCACGACAACCTCCGCCTCCCTGGTTCAAGCAATTCGCCTGCCTCAGCCTCCTGAATAGCTGGGACTAAAGGCGCGTGCCACCATGCCCAGCTAATATTTTGTATTTTTAGTAGAGATGGGGTTTCACCATGTTAGTCAGGATGGTCTCGATCTCCTGACCTCATGATTCACCTGCCTCAGCCTCCCTAAGTGCTGGGATTACAGGCATGAGCCACCATACTCGACCAACATACAAATTTCTAATGCGTAAATATATTTTTCCTTAATATGAGGTATTAAAAAATATCTTTAACCATTTAATAGGTTTCATACATAAAGAGGATATTTAAAAATACATATATATTCAGGCCAGGTGTGGTGGTTTATGCCTGTAATCCCAGCACTTTGGGAGAGTGAGGTGGGTGGATCACTTGAAGTTAGGAGTTCAAGACTAGCCTGGCCAACTGGGTGAAACCCTGGGTCCACTAAAAATAAAAAAATTAGCTGGTCATGGTGGCTCACGCCTGTAATCCCAGCCACTCAGGAGGCTGAGGCAGGAGAATTGCTTGGACCCAGGAGGCAGAGGTTGCAGTGAGCTGAGATGGTGCCATTGAACTCTAGCCTGGGCAACAAGAGCGAAACTCTATCTCAAAAGAAAAAAAATACATACATAGTCAGTAATTATTTGCTTAGTAATTCATATTTTGTTTAAAATAGTCATAAAATACTTTTTAATCGATACATAACAGACTCATGTTAAATGCACAAGGTGCGTGCATCTCAAGGATAGAGTTCCACTGGTGTTTCACAGGTATGCATCCTGTAGCTGCGCGTGGTGGCATGCATCTGTGGTCCCAGCTACTCAGGAGGCTGAAGCAAAAGGATTACTTGAGCTCAGGAGGTGGAGGCTGCAGTGAACCATAATGGCAACACTGAACTCCCAGCTGGCGTGACACAGTGAGACCCCCCCCCCAAAAAAAGTATGCATCCATGTAACTTTCATCCAGAGCAGTACAGAGCGTATTTTCACATCCTAGAGGCTCCCTTATGCCTCTTCCCAGGAGGCGTGACAGAGTGAGAATCAATGTCAAATAATAAAAGAAAAAATCATATGGAAGAAACGAAATGTACAGGGAAGTACTTTTCCTTCTGAATCTTGTAACTTGCCAAAGGTAGCTATTACAGGTTAAACTGTGGCCTCTCAAAGAGGTAACGCTGAAGTTCCTAACCTCCAGTACCTCAGAACGTGACCTTATCTAGAAATAGCATCCTAGCAAATGTAATTAGTTGACAGGAGGTCATGCTGGAGAAGGTGGGCCTCTCATTCCATATGACTGGTATAGCCAAAAAGACAGGGAGAAGGCCATTCGAAAATGGAGGATTAGAGAGATGCATCTACAAGCCAATGAATGCCAAAGATTGCCAGCAAACCATCAGAAACTAGAAGACGACTCCCCTGCAGGCTTTCGAGGGAGCATGTCCTGCTGACTCCTTGCTTCCAGCCTTCTAGGCTGCAGGTCTGTGAGACACTACACTTTGGTTGTTTTGAGCCACTCAGTTTGCTGTACGTTGTCACAGTGGCCTTGACTTTAAATTCTTGCAAATAATGGGGGAAGGGGAAACAGTCACCTGAGCATCGTGACCTACAGGTTTTCAATGACTTTCCAGTTTATTTTCTGATAAGTGAAAATATTTTCAAGAACATGCACAGTGAACACAGGAATGCTAGGAAAGCAAACATAAAAGGCACACACACGACAGCTGACCGAAACTTTAACACACCTGGGGATTGACCACAACATTTACAAATCAGTGTTACAGCATTGCATTTTCAAAGATTAACATTTACAGTTATAAACTTTATTTTACAAGTTTCACAATGTTCAATTTCCTTAATACTTCAACAGGAATCTAACTCTTTGTAGTCTATCAAAATGGTAATATTTTACCTCTTTTTTTTTAAAGCACTGGTGCTTTTTTTTTTTTTTTTTTTGAGACAGAGTCTCACTCTTTTGCCAGGCTGGAGTGCAGCGGTGCAATCTTGGCTCCCTGCAACTTCCACCTCCCGGATTAAAGCGATTCTCCTGCCTCAGCCTCCTGAGTAGCTGGAACTACAGGAGCGCGCTACCACGCCCAGCTAATTTTTCGTATTTTTAGTAGAGACAGGGTTTCACCATGTTGGCCAGGATGGTCTTGATCTCTTGACCTTGTGACCCACCCACCTCAGCCTCCCAAAGTGTTGGGATTACAGGCATGAGTCACTGCGCCTGGCCTCACTGTTGCTCTTCTTAAGTAAAATGTTAACACAGGGATCAATACATAAAAGAGAAAGTGAAGTTGTTCCATTTCGGGGTTCCCAGGAAGGGTCTCACGCCTCCTTAGGTGTCACCCCTTCACAGTCTGGGAAGCCATGGAATTAAAGTATGAACAAGGAATGCATAAAGATTTCACTGACATAAAAACCAGGAAGTGCCTTCAGTGGCCATAACTTTCTAAGCTTCTGCTTTTCCACATGCTTTTCTTTGGTTTCATCACTTTAGAAAACTCTTTGAATGGTTAATTGTTTGAAAGGCAGCTATATTAGGCAGAAGCTGAAATGCTGGAAATTTATCTACACACTAGATGCTGATGAATAAAATCCAAGAAGAATGATTTTGTTTTTTTAAAAAAATTTTAAAGGCAGTTTACTGTTCATACTAACAAAAATAAAACATTTCTCATGAATAAATTCCAAAGCCAGGATAATGCTTAGAAAGATGAAGCATCCCTGCCAGGTGCAGTGGCTCACGCCTGAACCCCAGCACTTGGGGAGGCTGAGGTGGGTAGATCACCTGAGGTCAGGAGTTTGGGACCAGCCTGGACAACATGGTGAAACCCTGTCTATACTAAAAATACAAAAAATTAGCTGGGTGTTGTGGCAGGCACTTGTAATCCCAGCTACTCGCGAGGCAGGAGAACTGCTTGAACCCGGGAGGCAGAGGTTGCAGTGAGCTGAGATCACGCCATTGCACTCCAGCCTGGGCAACAAGAGCGAAACTCCATCTCAAAAAAAAAAAAAAAGATGAAGCATCCCAAAAATTCAAAGGGAGGTTTCAAGGAAATGCTACATCATGTGAGACTGTAGTGTGGATGTCCAAAGGGAAGAGAAAGGCAATACCATTCATATAATTCAATGAGTTCAGGGCAGCTGGACTATAGGGAGATGGAGAGATGTGCAGTCACACCGATGAAAGACAGGAAGGCCATTTGGAACCCCAGGGGCCACAGAGCCACAGGGAAGCATTGGGCTAAGGCCACCAGTTAACACCGCAAAAAAGAAAGGCACCAGACACTTGGGCTTTTGGTTAAGTAGGTTGGGTTTACTAATTAAGGACCTCTTCTTGAGACTCATTCTTTATAATTTATTCATTTCACAAACACTTCTATAGATTTCACAAACACTAATATAGTCCTTACTATATTAGTGATTCTTTTAATCTTCATAACAACTCTATGGGGAAGGGACTATTATTGGCCCCGTTCTACGGAAGAGGAAACAGGCACAGAGAGATTAAACAATTTCCCCGAGATCACAATGTTTGAAAATGTTGATCTGGAATTCAAACACCATTCAAAAGAATAAATGAAACTTTTGAAAAATGTCACCCATTTATCCTTAGAAAAATTCTTTAGAAGGCCCCGAGGAATTTCTATAGGAACAAAATTTGTTCTAGAAAAATCCTAGGAATCTGCCTGAGTTAAAAAGGAAAGTAGCACCAGAATTGGCAGTCCACTTGCCCATCACGCTGCCAGGATATGATCTCTAAAATGATGACACATTTAAATGAGATGGACAAATATGAAATTGAACACAGCTGAACACAGGATTTGTTCCATTCTTAGTAAAGGCCCTTAGTACATTTGAATTTGTTTTAAAATGTCGGAGTAAAAATCTTTAATGTTGCATACTGGTTAAACCAACTGGAAGCTGATTCAGGAACTGCTTGCTTCTCTACCACAGAGGCTGGCATTAAAAAGGCAGTAAATAAATAGTAAACTTGCTATTTTTTTTAAAAAAGTGGTTTCCCAGCCTGACCAACATGGTGAAACCCCATCTCTACTAAAAATACAAAAATTAGCTGGGTGTCGTGGCGTGTGCCTGTAGTCCCAGCTACTCAGGAGGCTAAGGCAGGAGAATCGCTTGAACCCAGGAGGCAGAGGTTGCAGTGAGCCGAGATTGCACCACTACCCTTCAGCCTGGGTGACAAAACGAGACTCTGCCTCAAAAAAAAAAAAAAAAAAGGGCTAAGAATAACCTTGTACATCCCAATTCATTACTTTATCATATTCTTGAATTCTTTGTTTTATGTGAGAAAGTTTATTCTTTAGGTAATCACAGCGTTCTTTTTTTTCCAGAAATGTAGGATCCTGTAAAAGAAATGTAAGTATTACTTCGGCTCCTGGCTTCCTCAGTGAAAAACACAGAAACATACATTGTCACCCAGGAAATGATCACACACAGCAATATTCTCTACAGCAGATTCCGAACTCAGAGTAATAGTTAAGCTCTCTACAGGTTTTTTAAAATGTACATTTCTTTTTAGAGTAGTTTTAGTTTCAGAGCAAAACCAAACAGAAGTACAAAGAGCTTTCATTTTAATGTCTGATGTACATAAAAAAGGAAATAAAGCCAGGTACAGTGGCATGTGCCTGTGGTCCCAGCAACTCAGGAGGCTGCAGTGGGAAGACTGCTTGAGCCCAGGGCTTTAAGTCCAGCCTAGGCAACAGAGCAAGACCCCATCTCTTAAAAAAAAAAAAAAAAAAAAAAGTGGGGCCAGGCTTGGGTGCTCACACCTATAATCCCAGCACTTTGGGAGGGCCAAGGTGGGTAGATCACAAGGTCAGGAGTTCTAGACTAGCCTGGCCAATATGGGGAAACGCCGTCTCTACTAAAAATACAAAAATGAGCTGGGCATGGTGGCGGATGCCTGGAGTCCCGGCTACTCGAGGGGCTGAGGCAGAATTGCTTGAACCTGAGAGGTAGAGGTTGCAGTGAGCCAGGATTGTGCCATTGCACTCCAGCCTGGGCAACAGAGAGACTTCATCTCAAAAAAAAAAAAAAAAGTAGTAAGTATACAAAATATTAATAAACAGTCTCTCCGGCCTCTACTATTTTTTTTCTTTTTTTTTTTGAGACAGGGTTTCATTTTGTTGCCCAGGCTAGAGTGCAGTGGTGTACTCTGCCTCCCAGGCTCAAGTGATCCTCCTACTTCAGCCTCCCAAGTAGTTGGGACTACAGGGGTGTGCCACGTGGCTAATGTTTATATTTTTTTTGTAGAGACAGGGTTTTGCCATGTTGCGCAGGCTGGTTGGTCTCAAACTCCTGGGTTCAAGTGTTCTACTCGCCTTGGCCGCCCAAAGTGCTGGGATTACAGGCTGAGCCAGTGTCCAGCCACCTCTACTGATTTGAGATTAAGTTAGACTTGGAAAGATGTAAAGAGAGTTCATCTTTTGGATGGAAGAGGTGGAGAATTCCGGATCAATGCTCATTTCCCTAGGTTCCTAAGTCAGGACACAGCAAAATGTATTCAGGACAGACATGACAAGAAATGGCATCTAGCAGCCATATTCCCTTAAAAGGAGCATCTCATGAAATACAAAAAAGGACCTATGTTAGCTAACAGAATCTAGAGTCTGTCAATTATCATGTATGCACCTCGATAAGAATATAGTTTGAAGAAGAAAACTGTTTTACTCACATTCTTTTTTTTCTTAAACTCTTCGTGGATTCTTGAAATTCTCTCATGTTCCTAAAAATAATATATTGTATATCTAAGTTAAAAGTTTATTCAAATCATATCTCAAAGCACACTGAGAATTAGAACAACAAAAAAACAATTTTTACCCAAGAAAAGAATGAAAATGTTTACACACAAAATTTAATTCACAGGCAAATATTTGAGGGCTTACTATCTCTTAGGCCCAGGAGTGCATAAGAGAGAAAGGGCCCTGACCACATGCAACCATACCTGTGCCCCCGGCCCTTTAGGGAGGATACATAGCTTGCCCAGGGCCACACAGCCGGCAGGCTCAGTTTCCTTATTGATAAAATGGAAATAAAACCATAATGACCTCAAAGGGTTGTAAGAAGGTTCACTTATTTGAAATGATCCTTATAATGTGCTTGCCACATAATAACCATAACGTTTGCTATTATTATGTTCATCCCCTTTGGAAAGTTTATCCCTTTGGAAAGTTCTTTTTTGAGTTATTAGGTGTTGGGATTAAGCAGTTTGAGAGTATGCAACTTTTGAAAATAGCTAATATAAGGTTCCTTGTAGTTTCATTCTAAGTTTTAAAATAAATATGAACTTTGCTAAGGAGTTGAACGGTCTATTCAAAGAGAACAGATTACTACAGCAATGCCCTCATTCATCCATGCAAGCCTATACATAGATATATATTGTCAGACACTGCAAACCTAAAAAATAAACAAATATAATAATTGAGAGGTTTTTTTTTTTTTTTTTTGGAGACAGTCTCGCTCTGTTGCCCAGGCTGGAGTGCAGTGGCACAATCTCAGCTCACTGCAACCTCCACCTCCCTGGCTCAAGCTATTCCCGAGCCTCAGTCTCCCAAGTAGCTGGAACTACAGGTGTGCACCAACATGCCCAGCTAATTTTTGTATTTTTAGTAGAGATGGGTTTTCACCATGTTGGCCAGGCTGGTCTCAAACTCCTGGCATCAAGTGATCTGCCCACCTTGGCCTCCCAAACTGCTGGGATTACAGGTGTGAGCCACCATGCCCAGCCAGTAATTTATAGTTCTAAAAGCTTGCCCTATGCCTGTAATCCCAGCACTTTGGGAGGCCGAGGAGGGTGAATCACCCGAGGTCAGAAGTTTGAGACTAGCTGGGCTGACAGGGTGAAACCCTGTCTCTACTAAAAACACAAAAATTAGCCAGGTGTGGTGGCTCATGCTTGTAATCCTAGCTACTCAGGAGGCTGAGACAGGAGAATCACTTGAACCTGGGAGGTGGAGGTTGCAGTGAGCCAAGACCAAGCCATTGCACTCCAGCCTGGGAGACAGAGCGAGACTCCATCTCAAAAGCAAAAAAAGGAAAAATAAATAAATAAAATAAAATAATAAAAGCTTGCCCTGAGAACCTTCTCCATCACTGATCCATACCCTTTTCCCAGTATATTTTCTTTTTTTTTTTTTTTGGGTGGGGACAGGGTCTTTTCTGTTGTCCAAGCTGGAGTGCAGTGGTGTGATCACAGCTCACTGTAACCTCAACTTCTTGGGCTCAAGTGATCCTTCTGTCTCAGCCTCCCAAGTAGCTGAGATTATAGTGGTATACCATTAGGCCTGGCTAATTTTAATTTTAATTGTTTATTATTTATTAATTAATTTATTCATTTTTGAGATGGAGTCTCACTCTGTCCCCTGGGCTGGAGTGCAGTGGCGTAACCTCGGCTGATGGCAACCTCTGCCTCTGGGATCCAAGTGATTCTCCTGCCTCAGCCTCCCGAGTACCTGGGAATACAGGTGCCCACCGCTATGCCCAGCTAACTTTTCGTATTTTTAGTAGAGATGGGGTTTCACCACGTTGGCCAGGCTAGTTTCAAATCCTGAACTCGTGATTTGTCCACCTTAGCCTCCCAAAGTGCTGGGATTACAGGCGTGAGCCACTGTGCCCAGCCGCTAATTTTTATTATTTTTTGTGTGTAGATGTGGTCTTGCTATGTTGCTCAAGTTCATCTTGAACTCCTGGCTTCAAGCAACCTTTCTGCCTTGACCTCCCAAAGTGTGGGGATTACAGCTATGAGCCCCCTTGCCCAATCTATTTTAATTCTTCAATCTCTTTTACATACTGAGATCATGAGTATTTGTGTTTTAAATGCTTGCCAGCAGTGAAGATAAACCTGGTGATTTAATTGTAATCTGTAATAACAGGTCCTGGACAAGGAATAAACTTGCTGCTGGGGTTAGCACTGCTGTGCTGGAGACGCAGGCAGAGATGAGCTGTAACATCTATCTAGAGTCTGTCACTGAATTTAAGGAGTGGTGACGACCAGAGGGATTATTTAGAGTAAATATTTCTATTTTATGGGCTCAGAAAAGTCATGTGACTATTCTTCAAGGGTACACAACCATGTCTGTGAGAGAATCTGTGCCTCCAAACAGGCTCAGTGGGCTTTGAAATGCCTCACATGCTTCATGGGGACCTGGTGGGAAAATGAATGAGCCTGTGGACTCTTGCCCAGGGCAAAGCTCAGCCTGTGACCAAGGAGAAGCTAACTTTTGTGATACAATGTATATTTCTACTTTAGATAAGGACTAGAGGATACACTGGTAATAATAACCACGGGCCTGCCATTTGGGTTACTTACAAGCCCTGTCTTGTTAAAAATCACAGGTAATGGCTGTTGTTGATATTGTGTGGAAACATCATTGGAAGACTCTCAGCCTGCACTGTAATCAGGACCTCTGGATTTCCCAACTGTAGACCACGTGCTGCAGCCCTTGTGCATTCATACAAAGCATACAAACCAGACCCCACTGGGGATTGGCTCAAAGATTACAGCTCAGGATTGTCTGCATTATTTTCCGCAACAAGCCTGCTCTTCCCAACCTGTGCTGATCCAGATTCCTGGGGCCTCATGCCTCCTGCACTCCTTTGAGAGCCTCTAAACCAGGCCACCCTTCTTAGACCTGTGGGCCTTGATTGTTTTCCAAATGGTACTGACATTCAACCTCAATATGTGCTGAATTTCTCTTGCTTCCTGGTACTGGTGTCTCTTGGCCAACACCATTCCATTTCTCCAGGATTAGGAAAATGTCACGGCAATACACATTTGCTTTGCTAACTCATAATGATAAGTGATTTAAATGTACACTTAACAGTCTGTGGTTGAAACAAAGACACTCAATTAATACGGGTTCTTGTGTAAAAAAATTTGTGTGTGTGTGTGTGTGTGTGCGCGAAAGAGAGACGGAGTTTTGCCCTGTCGCCAGGCTGGAGTGCAGTAGCGCGATCTCAGCTCAGTGCAGACGTGTGCCACCACGCCCAGCTAAATTTTTTGTATTTTTAGTAGAGACTGGGTTTCACCATGTAAGCCAGGATGATCTCCATCTCCTGACCTTGTGATCCGCCCACTTTGGCCTCCCTGAGACACCACAGTGCCAGGCCTGACATTAAGTTTTAAAAAGCTATGTTTTAAAAATTTAATCATACAAGTAATAGATTAATACAGCCTCTTTTAAAAAGATAGATTATACAAATATTTATGGTGGCATTATTTATATTAGCTAATGAGCTGAAATGATCCAAATGTCTATCTCCTGAGGAATGGACAAACAAAATGTGGTATATTCATGTAGCAGAATATTATTCTACCACAAAAAGGAGTAAGTATTGACTATGCTAAAATACAGATGAACTTGAAAACATTATGCTAAATGAAGAAGCCAGGCACAAAGGATTTATATGAAATGTTCAAACTAGGCAAATCTATTCAGACAAAAAGGAGATTAGTGGTCATCAATGGTTGGAAAGATCTGGGAATGGGAAATAACTGCTAATGGGTATAGGGTTTCTTTTTCTTTTCTTTTCTCTTTTTTTTATTTTGAGGCAGGTTCTCTCTCTGTTGCCCAGACTGGACTGCAGTGGCGTAATCTTGGCTCACTACAGCCTCTGCCTCCTGAGTTCAAGTGATTCTTCTGCCTCAGCCTCCCAAGTAGCTGAGATTACTCAGCCCGCCAACAGGCCCAACTACTTTTTGTATTTTTAGCAGAGATAGTGCTTGACCACATTGGCCAGCTGGTCTAGAACTCCTGATCTCAAGTGATCCTCCCGCCTCGGCCTCCCAAAGTGCTGGAGGGATGAAACTCTTCTGGAATTTGAGTGGTGCTGATTGCACAACTTTGGAACTATACTAAAATTCACTGAATTGTACACTTTAAAAGGGTGGATTTATGATATGTAAATGAGATCTCAACTAAAAAGAGGACATTGGGCCAGATGCAGTGGCTCATGCCTGTCATACCAGCACTTTGGGAGGCTGAGGTGAGCAGATCACCTGAGATCAGGTGTTCAACACCAGCCTGGCCAACATGGCGAAACCCTGTCTCTACTAAAAATACAAAAATTAGCTGGACGTGGTGGTGGGCGCCTGTAGTCCCAGCTACTCGGGAGGCTGACCCTGAGGCAGGAGGATTGCTTGAACCTGGGAGGCAGATGCTGTAGTGAGCCAAGATTGCATCACTGCACTCAAGCCTAGGTAACAGAGCAAGACTCTGTCTCAAAAAAAAAAAGAATAGGCTGGGCGCGGTGGCTCATGCCTATAATCCCAGCACTTTGGGAGGCTGAGGCGGGTGGATCACGAGGTCAAGAGATTGAGACCATCCTGGTCAACAAGGTGAAACCCCGTCTCTACTAAAAATACAAAAATTAGCTGGGCATGGTGGTGCGCAACTGTAGTCCCAGCTACTTGGGAGGCCGAGGCAGGAGAACTGCTTGAACCCAGAAGGCAGAGGTTGCAGTGAGCCGAGATCGTGCCATTGCACTTCAGTCTAGGTAACAACAGCGAAACTCCATCTCAAAAAAAAAGAAGAAGAAAAAAAAAAAGAATATATCTGACTAAAAAAATGGCACAGGTTATAAGGAATCCCTATTTCAGAGATATAAACGTGAAAAATGAAAAAAAGAGTACTACAAAAAAGCTTAAGTCCCCTGTAACGACCATTTCCATTCCCAGTGCTCCTCTTGGTCATGATCATAGCTGTCAGTCTGGTGTGTGTGCCCAGTAACTCACATTTGTAGCATCATATCTCATATCTGCTTTTTTATTTTTTTTTTTTTTTGAGACGTGGTCTTACTCTTTCCCCCAGGCTGGGGTACAGTGACACAATCATGGCTCACTGCAGCCTTGACCTCCTAGGCTCAGGCAATCCTCCCACCTCAGCCTCCTGAGCAGCTGGGACTATAGGTACATGTCACTACTCCTGGCTAATTTTTATATTTTTTGTAGAGATGGAGTTTTACCATGTTGTCCAGGCTGGTCTTGAATGCTTGGGCTCAAGCCATCTGCCCACTTTGGCCTCTCAAAGTGTTGGGATTATAGATATGAGTCACTGTTTCTGGCCATATCTGCTCTCTACTCTTACTCACTGGGCGCTCTGCCTTTGGGCCTGGGGTGCTAACTGCTGGACTCTGGCTTAGCAGGGGAATGCAATGCCCCTGGTGGCTTCCCTACACTCCGCCCTCCCCTTTGTGAATAAACCTTTGTAAATTATCTTAGCTTGAATGTGCCATCTGTCTCCTTTGGGACCCTGACTGACTTAGTATGTATCTTAAGCAAATTTATCTTTTACTTAAATAAGAATATAAAATATGAGTAGGCACAGAGTGAAAAAAAAGAAAAAATACTGTTTAATAACTGAAAACAAAAGATATTAAGTTACACAATTTGAACTGTCATCTTAACTAGGCACCTTGAGGATCTCAAATACTTTCCTAGACACAGAAAGCAGATGTAAATGGTATTTTTTTAAAAGCCAGATTTTATGCTGGATGCGGTGGCTCATGCCTGTAATCCCAGCACTTTGGGAGGCCAAGGTGGGTGGCTCACTTGAGGTCAAGAGTTTGAGACAAGCCTGGCCAACATGGTGAAACCGTGTCTCCACTAAAAATACAAAAAGATTAGCTGGGTATGGTGGCACATGTCTATAATCCCAGCCACTTGGGAGGCAGAGGCAGGAGAGTCACTTGAACCCAGGAGGTAGAGGTTGTAGTGAGCCAAGATTGTGCCACTGCACTCTAGCCTGGCAAGAGAACGAGACTCTGTCTTACAAAAACAAAAAGCCAGATTTTATTCCTCCTGTAGAGTTCAGTGGTTCTCCTAGGCAGTGGCACACACTAACCTGCCGGCTTTCCGAATGATGTGGCAGTCTGCTCATCACTGCATCCAGCTCATCAAACTTCCTCAGGACAGCTTGAACTTCTGCAGACAGCTCTTTGTATTCTGAAAACTGGTCTTGGAACACAGCTTTATAGCGTTCTCGCTCATCATCCGTCTGAATCACAGGGTATTTTCTGGGAGAAAAACAAACCAAAGTTATAATTGTTTCACTAAAAGAAGCTGAATGGGAGATCAGCTTAGCTTATTCCTTACTGATCATCTTGTACCTTCAATTCACTGTATCACCTTTCAGATAACAAACAACTACTTGCATACATGATTTTAAGCACAGAGTATTAATGTGGGGACAAACTGGAAAATGAAAGGCCCAAATGGAGGCCCTCGACTCCTACCTTGAGGAAGAATTCAGACTGATACTTACGCCACATAATCGGGCATCACGATAGGTTTTGGAATGTGACCTGGGGGGATGTGTCCACTCAGTAGTTCAGGTTTCATTTTTGCTGTTCTCAATTCTTTGGAATTAACTTCTGATTCTCTTTGTCTGTCACCACTAGTGGCCATTTCACACTGCAGCTAGGGAGAAAAAGAGGATTTATTAATAAATAGAGGTAGAATAAAAACCCTCTGAATTTATTTAGAAAATGGGGAGGAAGGTCAGGTAGGGTGGCTCAAACCTATAATCCCAGTACTTTGGGAGGCTGAGGCAGGAGGATCACATGAGGCCAGGAGTTCATGACCAGCCTGGCCAACATGGCAAGACCCTGTCTCTATATAAAAAAATTAAGTCCGGGCGAGGTGGCTCCTGCCTGTAATCCCAGCACTTTGGGAGACCGAGGTGGGTGGACCACTTGAGGTCAGGAGTTTGAAACCAGCCTGGCCAACACGGTGAAATCCAGTCTCTACTAAAAATACAAAAATTAGCTGGGAGTGGTGGTGGGTACCTGTAACCCCAGCTACTTGGGAGGCTGAGGCAAAAGAATCGCTTGAGCCCAGGTGGTGGAGGTAGCAGTGAGCCAAGAGTGCACCACTGTTCCAGCTTGGCAACAGAATGAGACTCCATCTTAAAAAAAAAAAAAAAAAAAAACCTGGCAGGTGCAGTGGTGTGTGCCTGTAGTCCTAGCTACTTGGGAGTCTTGGAGGCTGAGGTGGGAGGATTGCTTGAGTCCAGGAGGTGGAAGTTACAGTGGCTGTGATTGCACTACTCTACTCCAGCCAGGGAAGAGTGAGATCTTCCCTCAAAAAAAAAAGAAGAAGAAGAAGAAGAAGAAAATGGGGAGGAAGACAGGAAGAAGAAAAGTGAAAATAGGAGTTAACATTTCACATCACAATTACATGTTTTATAGTCACAAAGTTGTTCTGAATGTTTCTGTAATAGATAAGGGAATCACATTTGGGATATGGTAATACACAGTAGGTAAAACACACTCTAGCCCCAACTGTGGACATGTCAAAGGTGGTTGATGCAATGTCAAATACACAGTCTTAAGAACTTACCTATTTAGAATTTACACCCCAAGTAACCGTAAAAGAATAAAAAATGTAATTCAAAATAAATTCAGGGATAAAAATGGAACAAGTCTACTTAAATGCAAAGAGAAAGTCATGATACTGGCAATTTGGGATGATTTAATTGCACACAGCCACTGAATGGATTACAAAAGAAAATGAGTTACATTGTTTTCATTATATGAAGATGGAAAGCAAGCAAATTCACTTTCAGAAAGAAACGCTTCCTGATCTTTTTTTTTTGAGACGGAATTTCGCTGTTGTTACCCAGACTGGAGTGCAATGGCACGATCTCAGCTCACTGCAACCTCCGCCTCCTGGGTTCAAGCAATTCTCCTGCCTCAGCCTCCCGAGTAGCTGGGATTACAGGCGCGCACCATCATGCCCAGCTAATTTTTTGTATTTTTAGTAGAGACAGGGTTTCACCTTGTTGACCAGGATGGTCTCAATCTCTTGACCTCGTGATCCACCCGCCTCGGCCTCCCAAAGTGCTGGGATTATATGCATGAGCTACCGCGCCCGGACTTGTTTTTTTTTTTTTTTTTTTTTTTAATGAGACGAAATCTCACTCTGTTGCCAGGATAGAGTGCAGTGGCACAATCTCAGCTCACTGCAACCTCCACCTCCCGGGTTTTCAAGCAATTCTTTCACCTCAGCCTCTTGAGTAGCTGGGACTACATGCACACACCACCATGCCCGCCTAATTTTTGTATTTTTAGTAGAGACAGGGTTTCACCATGTTGGCCAGAATGGTTTGAATCTCTTGACCTCATGATCTGCCCGCCTCGGCCTCCTAAAATGCTGCGATTACAGGCATGAGCCACTGAGCCCAGCTGATTGTCAGTAATTTTATATTATTTTCATTTCCTTTTTTTGAGATGGAGTCTCGCTCTGTTGCCTAGGCTGAGTACAATGGCGTGATCTCAGCTCACTGCAGCCACCGCCTCCTGGGTTCAAGCAATTCTTATGCCTCAGCCTCCCAGGTAGCTGGGCTACATACAGGTGTGTGCCACCATGCCTGCTAATTTTTGTACTTTTAGTAGAGACAGGGTTTTGCCATGTTGGCCATGCTGGTCTTTAACTCCTGGCCTCAGGTGATCCACCCCCCTTGGCCTCCCAAAGTGCTGGAATTATAGGTGTGAGCCACTGCACCCAGGCTAATATATTTATTTAAAAAAAAATTGTTTTTTGAGACAAGGTTATCCAGGCTGCAGTGCACTGACATGATCACGGCTCACTGCAGCCATACACCCTGGGCTCAAGTGATCCTCCCACCTTAGACTTCCAAGTAGCTGGGACCACCATACCAGATAATCTGGCTAATTTTTAAATTTTCTGTAGAGATTAGGTCTTTCCGTGTTGCTCAGGTTGGTCTCAAACTCATGGACACAAGTGATCTGCCTGCCTTGGCCTCTCAAAGTGTTGGGATTACAGGTATGAGCCTCTGTGCCTAGGCTTAATTTTTTTTTTTTTTTTTTTTTTAAGAGACAGGCATCTTGTTATGTTGCCAAGGCTGGTCTTGAACTCCTGGCCTCAAGTGATCCTGCTGCCTCCGCCTCCAGCTCCCAAAGTTATTAGGATGACACGCATGAACCACCATGCCTGGCCTGGATTTTTAAATGTAAGGAGGATGTTGCTGGGACCACAGAGGAAGGGCAGAAGATGTCTTCAACTTGCCCAAGTGCTCCTAATCTGTGATTCTCTGAAAAGGGCTATTAGAATCCTAGATGCAAGAGATGGTGGTTTAAGTCATGCCAGTTTCTTTCTTTTCTTTTCTTTTTTTTTTTGAGACGGAGTTTTGTTCTGTCACCTAGGCTGGAGTGCAGTGGCACAATCTCAGCTCACTGCAACCTCTACCTCCTGGGTTCAAGCAATTCTCAGCCTCCTGAGTAGTTGGGACTACAGGCACAAGCCACCACACCTGGCTAAGTTTTTGGATTTTTAGTAGTGACAGGGTTTCACCATATTGGTAAGGCTTGTCTTAAACTCCTGACCTCAGGTGATCCACCTGCTTCGGCCTTCCAAAGTTCTCAGATTACAGGTGTGAGCCACTGTACCCAGCCAAGTCACGCTGGTTTCTAAACAGCAGAGCTCTTAGAGGCCCTTTTAGTAAAAATTATGTGTTCAAAAGAGAAAGAGAACACAAGATGAAATAGCCTAGAGAGGAAGTCTCAGACAGAAAGGAAGTATCCGAGATCATGCCATTGCACTCCAGCCTGGGTGACAACAGCGAGACTTCACCTCAGAAATAAATAAATAAAATAAAATAAAATAAAATAAAATAAAATAAAATTAAAACATAACTGAGGTTCAGAGAGGTCAAGTAAATTCTCCAAGGTCACATAACTATTAAGTAGAAAAGCCACAATTAAAACTCAGAACTGGGCTGGGTAAGGTGCCTCATGCCTGTAATCCCAGCACTTTGGGAGGCTGAGACAGGTGGTGGATCATTTGATGTCAGGAGTTCAAGATCAGCCTGGCCAATGTGATGAAACCCTGTCTCTACTAAAAATACAAAAAGTAGCCAGGTGTGGTGGTGTGTGCCTGCAATCCCAGCTACTCATGAAGCTGAGGCAGAAGAATGGCTTGAGCCAGGGAGGTAGAGGTGGCAATAAGCTGAGATTGCCCCACTCCACTCCAGCCTGGGTGACATTGTCTCTAAAACAAACCAACCAACCAACCCAGAACTAGGCCAGGTGCAATGGCTCATGCCTATAATCCTAGCACTTTGGGAGGCCAAGGCAGGAGGACTTCTTGAGTCCAGATGTTTGAGACCAGCCTAGGCAATATAGTGAGACCCTGTCTCTACAAAAAAATTAAAAATGATTTGTCTTGTTCTTTTGCCCAGGCTGGAGTGCAGTGGCATGACCTTGGCTCACTGCAACCTCTGCCTCTAGGTTCAAGCAATTCTCCTGCCTCAGCCTCCTGAATAGCTAGGACTACAGGTGTATACCACCATGCCTGGCTAATTTTCTGTATTTTAGTAGAGCTGGGGTTTCACCATGTTGCCCAGTCTGGTCTCCAACTCCTGAGCTCAGGCAATACACCCACCTTGGCCTCCCAAAGTGCTGGGATCATAGGTGAGAGCCACCATGCCCAGCCAAAAACTAAAAAAATAACCGGGCATGGTGGCATGCACCTGTAGTCCAGGTTACTTGGGAGTTTCGGGTGGAAGGTTCACTTGAACCCAGGCGGTCAAGGCTGCAGTGAATTGTGATCATGCCACTCTACTCTAGCCTGGGTAACAGGGTGAGGCCCTGTCTCAAAAAACAAATAATAATTAAAAAAAAAAACAGAACTATTTGGTTCACTGACACTTTTCTTTTGAGACAGAGTCTTGCTCTGCCACCCAGGCTAGAGTGTAGTGGCAAGCTCATAGCTCACTGCAGCCTCAAACTCTTGGGCTCAACCTATCCTCCCTCCTTGCCATCCCAAAGTACTAGGATTACAAGTGTGAGCCACGATGCCTGGCCTGGTTCACTGCCAATTTTAATGAAAGAAACCTGTTTACTTAAATGTATACTGTTCATATCCTGAAGTTGCCTGAAGTTCTATTAGCACATTAGAAACGAGCTTGTGACGGACAGGGCAAGCAATGCCAACTGCTACTGGAAAGTAAGATCGTGCTTGGGAACATGATTCCTCTTATGAGCTGTAAACTCCCTCTCCTCTACTGACCCCTTAAGCCTTCAAGAAATGCTTGCTGAACTAAACTGAGAGGGGCTTGGGAGGGCCCCTATTTCACCGCAAATAAAAAAACAAAACAGGATTTTAAAACCTTCATCTTCATCTTCTTGCCAGGCAGCTTTAAAACTCCTTTGTTTCCTGATTTCCTTACCCTGAAACTGGCTTTGGTTTAACATTAGCTCATTCTAAAAACCACTAGCATTAAACTCACCAAATAGCACACCCCTTAGATTGGATTAGGTGTGCAGGCTGCTAACCAGCCCTACGGGAAAGTTATGAAAAGGAAAAGCTCTCCAACCCTGGCTCTAGGCGGGACAGAAGCCAGATCACCTAGATGTAGAAAGCATGCCTCACCACTCGGGCTCCACATCTGCGAACACCTGAGAGGTGAGCAGAGTACCCTGAGAAAATGAAATTAAGAAGGATATTTTTACGGAATACATTTTGCAGTTATTATTCATTCTGCTGTGTTTCTTGCTGATTAGGATGCCATTTTTTCATCCTAATGAATTCCTGTATATTTAGTTTTGAAAATGAATAATGGTATCAAACATTAGGGGAAGCTTTTTTGGCTTGAATAAATGAATTTCTAGTTCTCTTTAACTTCTGTTTCCTTTTTTTTTTTTTTTTTGACCCCTATATGAACACATGGTTTAACTTCTAAATGTTTAACTACCCAGATCTTATGGCGCTGAGGAAGCTGCTAAGAGCTTACGAATTCTCTGGACCTCGGCACCAGCCCCAGCATGAATCTCAGATCTCCTGGTCAAAGTCACTTTGAGCAGAGGGTTCATTATTAATTTGTTTTCTAGGTAAAATTTTTTTAAGCAAGAAGTAATCATTTTTCTTACTTGCCCATCTCTAATTCTAACAATTACCTTTTAATATAGAAAGGGAGCCTGAAGAAATCAGAATACATCCATATAGACATTTCATCTGCTTTACATTTATTTTAATTAATTATTTATTTTTGAGACAGAGTCTTGCTCTGTCACCCAGGCTGGAGTGCAATGGCAACGTCTTTCAGCTCACTGCAACTTCCACCTCCCCGGTTCAAGCAATTCTCCTGCCTTAGCCTCCCGAGTAGCTGGGATTACAGGCGTTTAATTTTTCGTATTTTTAATAGAGACGTGGTCTCACCATGTTGGCCAGGTTGGTCTCTAACTCCTGACCTTGTGATCCACCAGCCTCAGCCTCCCAAAGTGCTGGGATTACAGGCATGAGCCACTGTGCCCGACCTATTAATTTGTTTTTTAACTGTCCTGTGAGTGTAGTAAAAAATTTGGCATCTGAAAGCAAGATGAGCAGGATACAAAGAACAGTGCAGAACTTTAAACACAAGTGAAGAAAGTTTGGGAGAAATCACTTTCAGTTTAAAAAAATTAAATTTTAAACATATGTTGGATTATCTTGGTTCTCCTGAACCAATTTTGTTCACTTGCATAGATTTTCATCTTACAAAATTAAAAGAAGCTATAATAGGAATTTCTTTTTTGTTTGTTTGTTTTGTTTTGAGACGGAGTTTCGCTCTTGTTACCCAGGCTAGAGTGCAATGGTGCTCACCGCAACCTCTGCCTCCTGGGTTCAGGCAATTCTCCTGCCTCAGCCTCCCAAGTAGCTGGGATTATAGGCACACGCCACCATGCCCAGCTAATTTTTTGTATTTTTAGTAGAGACGGGGTTTCACCATGTTGACCAGGATGGTCTCGATCTCTTGACCTCGTGATCCACCTGCCTCAGCCTTCCAGAGTGCTGGGATTACAGGCTTGAGCCACCGCGCCCGGCCAATAGGATTGTTTTATTTGGTTCTTTTAGTATCAGGAAAAAAAGCTCAAAGTCCAAATATGAACTCGATGTAATAACTGTACTTCCTTTTCTTTTTTTAAAGCAGAGTCTTGCTCTGTCACTGCAGTGCAGTGACATGATCTTGGCTCACTGCAACCTTCACCTCCTGGATTCAAGTGATTCTTGTGCCTCAGCCTCCCCAGTAGCTGGGATTACAGGCGTGTGCCACCAGGCCCAGGCAATTTTTGCATTTTTACTAGAGACGGGGTTTCACCATGTTGTCTAGGCTGGTCTCGATCTCCTGGCCTCAAGTGTTCTGCCTTCCTCAGCCTCCCAAAGTGCTGGAATTACAGGCGTGAACCACTGTGCCTGGCCAATAGCTACATTTCACAGATGTATGATACTACTATGTAGATAAATAGACATAAGAGAAAAGTATTTAACAAATCTAAAGCATAATGTGAAATAAACTTTATTCTTACCATTTTCCTTTTCGATGACAACGATGGCTCATGTACCTGGAACAAAAAGAGTTTGAATAATTTTTCAAAGGCATGTGAAACTACTTTGCAAATATTTTCGTCTATTTGCATTTATAGCCCAATCTCAATTCTCATCCTCTTTTTTTTTTTTTTTTTTGAGACAGAATCTCGCTCTGTTGCCTAGGCTGAAGTGCAGTGGCACTATCTCGGCTTACTGCAACCCCTGCCTCCCGGGTTCAAGCTATCCTCTGCCTCCAGGTTCCGAGTAGCTGGGATTACAGGTGCCCGCCACTACAACTGGCATTTAAAAAATTTTTTTTAATTTTTAGTAGCGATGCAGTTTCACCATGTTGGCCAGGCTGGTCTTGAACTCCTGACCTTGTGACCCACTCGCCTCAGCCTCCCAAAGTGTTGGGATTACAGGCGTGAGCCACCGCACCCAGCCTCTCATCCTCTTTTTGTTTAGGTTTCGAAGGGTCAGTGGATAACTGAGAAGAGGGATAACTGTAATTCCCTGTCAATCAGGGGCATAGTGAGGAGTTGGGAATATGGGGATGGTGGAAACTGTTACATAAACCACTTTGAACTACTCCCACATTTTATTTATTTCTGCCTCTCATTACCTTGCACGATTAAAGAGTTAGGACAATTACTTGGTAAAATTAATAGAAAAAGGCTATAGGCTATAGTACATTTTCTAACCTTTAGGAAGTTATAGCAACACACAGACAGGCACAACTTTCAACATCAGAGGTGAGTGAAGTCTAATCAGGCATATAACAAGTCTCATAGAAACAAGTTTTTGTTGAGAAAGGAAGAAGAAATAAAAGTATTATGCTGATCATTCTATTCATGTAGAATTTTCTAATATTAAGATTTAAAAACTTATGCAACTAGAATAAAATTATGAGGAAATATATGAGTTTCACTATCTGGATTTCATATTGATTAGAATTAAAATTCTTTACTTTGTACACAGAGATGTACATTTAAGAAACAAATTGTAACTTTAAGAAATGCAAATTTAATACATGTGAAGGTTTGTTACATAAAAAAACAAAAATGAAAGAAACATGTTAAACTGCTAAGACAAATTTTTAGAAACAACTTGAATCTATGTAGAGTTTTAGCAAGATAATATGTTTTGTGACATCAAGGTAGGCACAGGGGCTTATGCCTGTAATTCCAGCACTCTGGGAGGCTGAGGGGAGAGGACTGCTTGAGGCCAGGAGTTTGAGATCAGCCTGAAGCAAGACCCTGTCTCTACAAAAAAAATTTTATATACACACACACACATATGTTTTTTATATATATTATACATATATATATATATATATATCACATTGACACATATCAAAGTTCTCTGTGTAACATGTAGGTACTTGTTATAAAACTATTTTTTTTCCACTGAGCATGGAGCTCATACTCATAATCCCAGCACTTTGGGAGGCTGAGGCAGGAGGATTGCTTGAGCCCAGAAGTTTGAGACCAGCCTGGGCAACATAGTGATACCCTGTCTCTACAAAAAATATAATTAGCCAGGTGTGGTGGTGTGTCTCTGTAGTTCCAGTTACCTGGGAGGCTGAGGTGGGAAGATTGCTTGAGCCTAGGAGGTTAAAGTTGCAGTGAGCCATGATTGTGCCACTGTACTCCAGGCTGGGTGACAGAGTGAGACCCTGCCTCAAAACAATCAATAACAACAACAAAAAACCAATTTGCTTCGCATTCCAGTAGGTGTAGAAAGAAAATTTAAGGCTGGGTGCAGTGGCTCGTACCTATAATCCCAGCACTTTGGGAGGCCAGGTGGATTACCTGAGGTCAGGAGTTCTAGACCAGCCTAGCCAACACAGCAATGCCCCATCTCTACTAAAAATACAAAAATTAGCCAGGCATGGTGGCGTGTGCCTGTAATCTCAGCTACTGGGGGGCTGAGGCAGGCGGATCACTTGAACCTGGGAGCCAGAGGTTGCAGAGAGTGGAGATCATGCCACTGCACTACAGCCTGGGCAACAGAGTGAGACTCTGTCTCAAAAACAAAAAAGAAAATTAAAAGTACAAAAGACAGGCTGGGTGGGCATGGTGTCTCACACCTGTAATCCCAGCACTTTGGGATGCCAATGCTGGTGGACTGTTGAATCCAGGAGTTTGAGACCAGCCTGGACAACATGGTGAAAATTCATCTCTAAAAAAAAAAAAAAAAATGTAAATTAAAAAACCAAAGCGCTATTGGTTGTTATGCATCAGATTAATGCAAAAGATTAAAAACAAAATTCGTATGTCAGTGTGTGCTAAGGACAGGATTTAATTTTTATTTATAGTTTTGCCCAATATATACCATGTGCAATTGTATAGTATCTGAGATGTCTTAGGAAAAATGGAAAAGGAAAAATTTATAATATAGTTAATTTAAAATTACAAAAGAATTTAAGGTAAATACTGAAATTTTCCATGACATAGGATATTCTACTACACACATCTTCTTGGAAGAAAGCAAAATATCAACTTACTTCAGAGAATAATGAAGCCAGTAAAACATACTCTAACATTTACTACTGTTCAAAGTAATTTTAGGTAGGGCTTTTATATAATCTCATCCTTTAGTTTTTTTATTCTTCTTACTGTTCTCATTATCATTTATTCTCATTATTATATTAAATTCCAGAAATAAAAAAACAAATGTAGGACTTCCATTCTAATTTTGGACCATACCTATTCCCCAAATAAAGACAAATTATGAAAACCACTGGGCAAGTTTTCAGAGTATGTTCACTACAGTTCAATCTCTCAATACTTAAAAAAATCACATATGATTTATTATATCCTTATTTGGCTTTATTCAACTCACTGGGAGAAAGTAAATCATAACTTTTAAATGAAAAATTAGGGGTTTTTATTAAGTTTTACCATATTAAAGAATCAAGATTGCTCTAAAACTTACTTTAATGATGAGACACTTATTTACTGAGCATATTCTTCTTTGCAGAAATTCAGTAGCTGTGTCTTTCTCTTAAGCTTCAGACAGACATAAAAATACAGCCAACAAACTATATATTACACATCTGGTGTCTACTTGCAATGTTATATAACAGTCAAACAGCAGAGTGGGTTATCCCAGTCAAAGCATGTCAGATATAGAGCTAGGTTTTTTGAATCTCAGATCAAAGAAAGAAAAGAAAAGAAAAGGAAAGAAAGAGAAAGAGAGAAAAAGAAAAAAGAAAAAGAAAGAAAAGAATTCTACAAAAACTTTCTGTTTTCAGGACTATACATTTTTAACAAGGGAGTAAATAAATAACGGAGAAATCAAACACACACACACAGATGAGGAATTATGGAATCACTTACCTCCTGTTGTTCCATATATTCTCTATGTCTCCGAGCTGCCTCATGCCTCCATAACTTTAGGCAAACCAAAGCGCTGATGAGATAAACTATCATGGTGACAAACAGGAAGATCATTGCAGCTATCTGTCCTCCTTCTACCCGGCAGAACACTGCATTCACTGGTGTATTAAATAACGGATAGTAGCAGAGGCCACCGCGGTTGGTATCGTTCACATAGACTATGGCTGCGGCCATATACAAAATAAACAAGGCAACGTTAATTCCAAATTCAGTTAGGGGCCACCAATTAGAGTCCAGAAGAATGGTCCGGTAATACATGGACATGCCAAGAACCAGAATAATAATTGTAGTGATCCAAGCTAATCCAGCAACCACGAGTACAAAAGGGGTCTTAGGGCCACTGTAGTAATAGCCCCCATACATACTGCCCAGTCCACCAACGCCTCCCATGCCATAGGGCTGTGAATATCCAAACAAGTTATACCACTCACTGTCCTTGTGAATGTAAGCTGTGACACAAGCAAAGACGCCAGCCCCCAAAAGCAGCTCCACCACACCCAGTATTCTCAGCAGGCCTGCCCACGACTTCATGTAGGAATATCTCAGGTTATACTCCTCCACTTTCTCGCTGTATGTTCGAACTGTTTGTGTGTGTCGGTCTAGTGATCCATAGGGATCCTGGGGAAACACTGTGTCAGCCTCTTTCCGGGAACTAAAGTTTCCTTCTGACCCTCCGTAAGGATCTTTGCAGGAGGTAGGGGGCGAACAGTGGTTTGGTCTTGCTGGAGAGGCTGGCGGTGAACACTCCACTCCATCGGAGATGTATCTGATATCAGAGACCGGCTTATCCCATTCGGGGTCCTTTTGCTTCCCTCTGAAGAAGTTCTTCCAGGAGTCAGGGACAAAGCGCCTTACTGGTTTGAGATCTGGCGCTATAGCTGGTTCCTCTGTGTCACTTGAGTAGAAGTCTGGGCCGAATGGTGGCTGTAATGGGAGAGGAGGTGGTGGCAAGGGATCAGCGCTCACTGCCCGCTCACTGTTGTGAAGAGTTCTTATGGTATCATCTTGATAGGGCAAGTCGCCTGGGACCTCATCGTAGTGCCTGTTCCGATTCCTGGATCTTCCATCATTTGACGACATTTGTGATTTTCACACCTGTGGCCAAATTTAAAGTTATCACTTATGATTAGTTATTTCTCCTCTCAGTGATGCTGACTTTATTCATGTAGTAGCAAAAAGTATTTAGGAGACCAAAAGAATCATGTCTAATTATTATGACATACAAAAATGATAAATATGAGGCTGGGCATGGTGGCTCATGCCTGTCATCCCAGCACTGTGGGAGGCCAAGACAGGCAGATCACTTCAGGTCAGGAGTTTGGGACCAGCCTCACCAACATGGTGAAACCCTATCTCTACTAAAAATACAAAAATTAGCCAGGAGTGGCGGCACGCGCCTGTAAACCCAGCTACTAGCTACTCAGGAGGCTGAGGTACAGATCACTTAAACCTGGGAGGCAGAGGTTGCAATGAGCCGAGATTGCACCACTGTACTCCAGTCTGGGTGACAGGGCTAGACCCTGACTCAAGGAAAAAAAAAAAAGATAAATATGTAGAGACTTTAAACCTATAAACCTATAGATTTTGCATATTTTATAACAATTACATTACCTAAGGATATAGTCATCATTCTATGCCATTTTAAGTGTAATCAAGATTTTTTTTTTTTTTGGGGGGTGGGGGAGGAAGGCAGGAAGGAAGGGAATAAGGACGGTAGGGAGGAAGGAAGGGATGAAGGAAGGAAGGAAGGGAGGAAGCGGGGAGGGAGGGAGGGAGGGAGGGAAGGGAAGAAAGGAAATCAAGCAATGAAAGAGACATTGCCGACCTGGATCTAGAGGTTTACAAGTTGATTTCTTTTTTTTGAGAGAAGGAAAGAAAAAAAAAAAAAATAAGTAAAGGATAGGAAGAAAGAGGAAGAGAAAGAGGGAGAGTAAATGGAAATATTGCTTGATTTTGAAAAAAATTGGGTATTCATAATGGCCAATCAATGTTTCATTTAAACTTATGGGTAGGTATGATGTGGTATTTACAAGAATGTATATTTTGTGTATTTGAAGTGGAGAGCTCTATAAATATTAAGTTTACTTGTTCTGGATCTGGGTTCGAGTCCTTGATATCCTTATTAATTTTCTGTCTCATTGAATCTAAGTCTCCTATCTGGGTGTTAGGATCGTTAGCTCTTGTTGTTGCATTGATCCTTTTACCACTATATCTTTGTTGCTTTAAAATCTATTTTATCCGATACAAGAATTGCAACTCCTGCTTTTTATTTATTTAGTAATCAAGATTTTAAATCTTAGGCTGGGCATTGTGGCTCGTGCCTATAATCCCAGCACTTTTGAGAGGCCAAGGCAGGAAGATCGCTTAAGGCTAGGAGTTGAAGACCAGCCTGGCAACATAATGAGACCCTGTATCTACAAAAAAATTTAAAAAATTGGCTGGGTGTGGTGCTGTGCCCACAGTCCCAGCTACTTGGGAGGCTGAGGTGGAAGAAAGATCCCCTGACCCCAGGAGTTTGAGGTTACAGTGTGCTATGACTGCACCACTGCACTCCAGCCTGGGTGACACAGCAAGTCTCTGCCTCTAATAAAAGAAAAAGAAAATGAAAAATGAAATATCTAGACTTAATTTATCTGTGAGCCCTATTAAACAATAAAGAACAAAACTAACAAAACAGAACACGAACACATTCCCAAGTAGAGTCACTTCCTCAAACATCTAAATCAAAATACTAAGAGTTTGAGTGTAGTGAGATTTGATGGGTCAGCAAATATTCCTCATTTTACCTTGGTACAGACTAGCCCTTTCCCTTCCTAATCAACAAAGTCCTTTTTAGAGGACTTGCTTCTTCCAGTCTAAAATATTAATACTTGAAACTAGATATAAAAAAAAAAAAAGAAACTAGATGTAAAAGGCTCCCCCAAAGCACAATAGAGAATGGCAGCAATGACCATTAATATTACTCTTTCCAGAGAAATTATGTATAGGTGATTTACACTTTCCAAGGAGAGACTCAAGTATCTCAGAAGGTATTCAATCCACCTCTGGAACAAGGCATAGAAAATGCACTTTTACTAAGCCTGTTGATTCATGAAATCAATGCTCTGAATCCATATACACAAAGAAGTAAACCATTTGCTAATTAACTACTAGGTTTAAGGTATGCTGAATCTCTCTCTCAAATTGTTTATAAGTTATTTTGTTTGAAGACTTAAAACAATTTTAATTCACACTCTGCCAAGTCTCATTATTGAAGATTTAAATTGGGCACAGGGTATTGTACTTGATACTATGAAGGTCTCAAAATTAAAATGGCTAACCCCATCTTTTTTTTGTTTTACTTATTCATTTATTCATTTGTTTATTTTATATTTTCAAGACAAGGTCTTGCTCTGTTTCCCAGGCTGGAGTGCAAGAGCACACTCATAGCTCACTGCAGCCTCAATCTCCCTGGCTCAAGCACTCCAGTTGCTTCCTAAGTAGCTAGACTACATGCACATGCCACCACATCCAGCTAAATCTTTAACAATTTTAGTAGACATGAAGTATTGCTATGTTACCTAGTTTTGAACTCCTGGGCTCAAGCGACCCTCTCGCCTTAGCCACCCAAAGTACTGGGATTACAAGCATTAGCCACTGTGCCTGGTGTGATTTGGAAATTCCAAAGGGTTTATTTTATTTTACTTTGGAAAACACAGACCCTTCGTTTAACCTGCCTTGCATCAGGCATGCTGAAGGTACACTGGTGAAAAAAGCAGACTGAAATCCTTGCCTTCATGGTGCTTTAACTGGGGAAGTACCAGGGGGATTGATGGATGACAGGAAGGAAAATATACAGTATGCTAAAGAGCACAGTTGAGCAATGGGGTGAAGATTGCAATGCAGACAGGATGTTACAATTTTAAACCAAGTGGCCAGGGAAATCTTCATAGAGAAAGTGATATTTGAGTATAGAACTGAAGGTGAAGGCCAGGCCATTATCAGGGACAAGAGTGTTCCCAGCAGATGGAACAGCTGGCACAAAAGCCCTGAGGTAGGAGTGCCTGCTACGTTCAAGAAATACGAAGGCATGGAGGCTACTGTAGCAGCAGCAAAGTGAGTAAGAAGGTGAATAGCAGAACTGAGGCCATCTGAATCATGTAGGGCCTTGAAAACCACTGGAAAGGACTCTGTCTTTTGCTGGGAGTGAGATGAGAAGCCACTGGATGATACTGAATAGAGGACTGACACAATTCGACTAGTTTTAACCGTATCATTATGGATGCTGTGTTGAGAATACACTCCAGAAGGCAAGAGGCAAAACAGGATGACTAGCTAGGCCACTGACATAATCCAATGGATGACTGAGACAGTGAGAAGAGATCAAATGTGAGACAGATATTTTAAATTTGTATTATAGAAATTTTCAAACTTAGTAAGTAGAAAGAATAGTATTATGAACCCTTGTGTACCCACATCCAGCTTCTACACTCAATTTATGGCCAAACTTGTTTCATTTATGCTCCCCATACTATTTCCTCTGCCAGTAGAGTCCTCTGAAGTAAACCCCAGACATCTGATCATTTTATCTGTCTATACTTGTCTCCACCCCTCCAGCTTAGCCTTGGGAGCAGCAGACTGAATGAAGTGTGTTTCAGATACATTAAAAATACAGGTAAAGATGTTAATAGGGTAAGCAAGGCACAGAGGGTATCTACAGAATGGAGACAAGAGAATGGGGTGGAATCCCAGTCTACTAGCAGGGCAATTACTGTGATGGCCCCAGCAGGGTTTCCAATGCAAAGTAGCTCTGTACATTACAGCGGTTATTTTTGTACCTTTCTCTTTTATTTCTTTCTCTAAAAAAGTTTAAGTTCTAGGAATGTTATTACCACTATAGTTTCTGAAGCACATTCCTAAGAAATGTAGAAGCAAAAGCACAACAAATAATTTTAGCAAGTTTTACACAGCATTTACAGGATATCTACTCTTAATTTAATTCACTGGTAAAAATATGATTCACTGTAATGGATTTAACACTTCCTCACTTGTTAAGTGGCTTATTTGAATCAAACCACCTTATCAATCTTTAAAAAGCAAGTGATTATTAAAGAGTTGTGGAAAAGCAAGATAATGTGATTTTTAGAAGGGAATGGTTAGCTGTATTTCATTACATCTTAAATATCTGGATACTCCTAATGTCTTTCAGGATGTCACTCAGAGTTCGTTTTGGTCCTGCAGGCCGCGGCAGCGTGGGTCCTTGCCCTGCTCAGCCCCGGACCCTGAGTACACTCTTGGACACTCATCTTGGAAAGCCGCGGCAATGGCAGGAGAAATGGCTCCCCCAGCGAAGTGTCACAGCAATCATGCCTGGTCGCCTTTACACAAACAGAACCACCGGTTTGCCTGGCTTAAAAGTTTTGCTGGACTCAAGAAAGGGGTAGCTTTCGAATACTTACGCGCTTCCGAGGGGTCGGAAAGGCTCTGCGGTTTTAACTAACCCACGACTGACCCGGGCTACCGAGCTTCTTTGCTGTGGGGTCTCCCCTGCGCCAGCCTCTGGGAGCCCAGTCCCACAAATCTCATTGTGTCACCAGCTCTGCCCGCGCAGGCTGGGCGTTCGTCTTTGTGTTTCTGGCTGAAACCCAGTCTTTAGAGATTCGCTCCAACGAGCCCAGAACTAAGCCGGGAGACCCCACAGGTCAGGAGCACCGGGATCGCCGCGAGGTGAGCGCCCCGCCCAGCGCCCGGAAGGACGGCGCCTCGGCCGCACCTGGGACCGCAGAGCGAAACTCCGCGGGGCTTGGGCCTCTGCCGCAGGCTACGGCAGACTGAGCGCAGAGTGCGGGCCTCCCACCGACCCCACACACCAGGGCCGGGGGGCACCAGGCCCTCCCTTCCCCTCCCCGCCCCCTCTGGGTCACGTGCCCCCAGCCCTACCCTCCACTTACCTGCACTGCCGCCGGGGATTCTAAAACCGGGATCGGGCTCCAGGGGTACGGCTGGGCGGGGCTGAGGGCGGGGCGGGACGAGCTCAGCTTTGCCCCGCCCGGCTTTGTCGGCCCGACTCCCGCTGTGGGCTCAGGCGGCTGGTGCCCAGCAACCGGTACCTCGCGGCAATGACTAGCCACTGGGCTCCTTTGGAAAGGTAGTTACAGGTTGGAGTAGGAGTCCCCGAGAGTTCTCATAGCAACGTTGCCATCCTCTTCCCTATCTTTTGAAAAAAGTTTGACATGGGTGAGGGAGATTCTTGCGCTGTGCCGAAGGACCCATGGCAGACAGTGTTAAAAGACAGTAGACACAAAATGAAATTCAACATTTTAATTTTGATATAAATTATGTAAATACTTTCCAAAAAGTATCTAAGATATTCTACTGTACAACACATCAAAACGGCATCTGGAAAGCCAGAGACAATAAAGTGTAAATAAGGCACGCAGTTTATTTACACTCATAATTGCATCCTAAACTGTTGAATAGTTCATATTTACAACCCCCATAACGTTTTTGCATTCTGAATTAGTCCTTCACATTTTGATATTTGGCATAATGTTCAAACACACTTTATACACACTGACCTCTCTTTAAACCACTCACAGATTTAATAAATACTACAGAAAAAAATTCAGGTAAGAGTCAGTTTCTTGTGATGAAATACTATAAGAATGAAGAATTAAACTGTTGTGTAATTTATCAGAAAAGCTTATTAACTCTGCTGAAGTACCACTGAATGAAACAAAAATTAATCTGTGAAGTAGCAATCTGATTTGCAGGCTGGCTTCTATGTCCCATCACTCTCATAGTCTTCTATTACTATGTTTTCTTCCACGTCTCCTTGGGCTGAAAAGGGCTGAGGCTGGCTGGCAGGCAGTTCACTTGCACTATTCTGACTCAAAGGAAGAGACCAGGTTTCTGGCTCAGTAGCTTGAGTGGGTTCACCCAGAGGTTCCTCTGCAGAATGTCCTCCATGAAGCTGGGCTTCATCTCCACTGTCAGGGTCGATCATTCCATGTTCCCTGTCACTCAGGGCTTCCATTTTCAATCTGTCAGATTCACAGTGCAGGCATTAATAAGAACCAAAGGAGGAGATTCCTTAAATTACACCATGAGTGTGATGATTATGAAGCCACCTTTCATTTACTTTCATTGCCATTTACTACATTTTCATTTACTTTCATTGTTATTTACTACAAAGTAAATGACAAACTGAATTAAGTTCCTACAACTTAAAATACAAAAAGGGGCTGACCGCAGTGGCTCACGCCTGTACTCTCAGCACTTTGGAATGCTAAGGTGAGCAGATCACTCGAGGCCAGGAGTTCAAGATCTGCTTGGTCACCATGGTGAAACCTGATCTCTACTAAAAATACAAAATTAGTCGGGCGTGATAGCACGTGACTGTAATCCCAGCTACTCAGGAGGCTGAGGCAGGAGAATTATTTAAACCCAGGAAGTGGAGGTTGCAGTGAGCCAAGATGGTGCCACTGGACTCCAGCCTGGGTGACAGAGTAAGACTCCGTTTACCCTCTAAAAACAAACAATAACAACAACAACAACAAAACAACCACCACCACCTAAAAATAAAAAGGGATAATGTCTTCCGTAAAGATTTTTTTTTTAATTGAGACCATCTCTCTATAACCCAGGCTGAAGTGCAGTGGTGCAACCTCAGTTCACTGCAACCTCTGCCTCCTAGGTTCAAGCGATTCTCTTGCCTCAGTCTCCTGAGTAGCTGGTATTACAGGCGCATGCCACCTCGCCTGGCTAATTTTTGTATTTTTAGTAGAGATGGGGTTTCACCACGTTGGCCAGGGCAATCTCGAACTCCTGACGTCAGATTTACACCTGTAATCCCAGCACTTTGGGAGGCCAATCCACCTGCCTTGGCCTCCTAAAGTGCTGGGATTACAAGTGTGAGCCACTGCACCCAGCCTTCAGTAAAGAATTTTTACAAATTAAAAAGAAAAAATGAAATATAATAGAAAAATGGGCACAAACATGGACAACTTATAAAAGAACTACAAATGGTTACTAAATAAATTTTTCAATCTAATTTGTAATTTTAAAAATGAAAATTAAGGCCAGGCACGGTGGCTCACGCCTGTAATCCCAGCACTTTGGGAGGCTGAGGTGGGTGGATCACCAGGTCAAGAGATCGAGACCATCCTGGTCAACATGGTGAAACCCCGTCTCTACTAAAAATACAAAAAATTAGCTGGGCATGGTGGCACGTGCCTGTAATCCCAGCTACTAAGGAGGCTGAGGCAGGAGAATTGCCTGAATCCAGGAGGCAGAGGTTGCAGTAAGCCAAGATCGTGCCATTGCACTCCAGCCTGGGTAACAAGAGTGAAATTCCGTCTCAAAAAAAAAAAAAAAAAGAAAAAAGAAAATTAACACAATGAGCTACTACTGTCATTCTTTTTTTTTTTTTTTGAGACAATGTTACTCTCTTGGTGGCATGATCTTGGCTCACTGCAACCTCCATTTCCCAGGTTCAAGTGATTTTCCTGCCTCAGCCTCCGGAATAGCTGGGATTACAGGCATGAACCAACACACCCAGCTAATTTTTGTATTTTTAGTAGAGATGGGTTTTACCATGTTGGTCAGGCTGATCTCGAACTCCTGACCTCCTGGCCTACTACTGTCATCTTCTAAAATGTCAAAGATACTTTTAGAACCCAGTGGTGGCACGGGTTAGCAGAAAAGAACATACTGATACACTATAAGTGGATATACAATTGGCAAAATATTCTTGCAAACAATTTGGCAATACAGAGGAAAAGCCTCAAAAGGTAATATACTTATTGATCCAGCAATTTCATTTCTAGGAATTCATCCTAAGTAAATAGTATTTGAAGTACGTGATGATTTATCTATAAGACTGTGATAGTAAAAGCTGAAAAGAAGCTAAATGGGCAAAAATAATATATAAGTTGAATCACAGGAAATTAAACATCTATTAAATATTAAGTATTAATATTCAATACTAAATAGTACTAAAAATATGGTTATTTTAAATATGGTCAACATAAATAAATGATAATAGTACCAGTCATTGTAATACATAGCACTGAAAATACTGCCTCTCAAGCCACATCAAATAAATAGTTGAACCAATAGTAAAACAGTGAAGACTCTCATTCAATTTAGGTTGGTGCAACCCAATACATCTCAGGAAAAAAAGACAACAGAAGATACTTGTCTTTATTTTGATGCCATAATCTTGGGAGGGTGGAGGAAAGGAGCCATCAGAGAAACCTGGTCCTGATTTCATTCAGAGGGACGTGGGAAGAAAAGCAATGTTTATAAAATGTATAAGCCCTGACCACATCCCAGTGGGATGATGCTTCAAGATCCAGCCATTATGGTCTTTCTGTGATAGGAAAGATGGTCTCTGCATAGCTAAGCCAGTATCCAGAAAAAACTATTAACACTACAAAGGCCTTAATGAATCTTTGAGGGTAGGGAGAAAAAGCTCATACCACAAGAATTTTCCATTTGGGACTAGAAATAAAAGAAAAGACAGGAGGAGTCAGAGGTGCCATTTCTATCACTTACTTTTGTCCATGCATCCAGTAAGCAAGATTTTTTAAGTCTTTTTTTTTTTGAGATGGAGTTTCGATTTTGTTGCCCAGATTGGAGTACAACAGTGAGATCTTGGCTCACTGCAACCTCCACCTCCCGGGTTCAAGTGATTCTCCTGACTCAGCCTCCTGAATGGCTGGGATTACAGGCATGTGCCACCATGCTGAGCTAATTTTTTCTATTTTTAGTAGAGACAGGTTTCACCATGTTGGCCAGGCTGGTCTCAAACTCCTGACCTCAGATGATCCACCCGCCTTGGCCTCCCAATGTGCTGGAAGTACAGGTGTGACCATGCCCAGACAGATTTTTAAAAAATCTTTAAATGATTCCTGAGTGCTTAATTTGATCTTACAAATACGCTAAGTCAAACTGAAATATAGGTTTTGTGTTATTCACTGATAATGGCATAGATGCTATTTTCAATAAAATGAACAGCATATATATAGACATCTCTTTATTTTGATGGTCTAAATTTTCTAAAATAAGAAATTATAGAAGACACTGCTACTTTCTAAGGCAGTTCCTAGTCACTGCAGGTCTTCAAGCAAAGGCTAAGAACACCTCTCGACAGGAAAGCTGGAAAGGGGTTTCTAGATTTGTTGAATTGGAGGATTTTAAAGATTCCTCTGCCTTTGTGATTCCATGATTCCATTTAGTCTGGTATAGTCCATTGGGAGTAGGTGCTGTAGGAAGGTTCTACAATTGTATTGTACTGTAGACCCTTCCTTTTCTTAAATATAATACGCTGTTCAAGAAAAGGAAACATCTACAATATGACTATGTTTATAAATTACCAGGTACAGTATTTCTTTCTTGATCAGCTTACCTTCCAAAGTGTCGCTTTAGAGGGAGCCTTCCAATATCTTGGATAAAAGAAATCTGAGCTGAAACAGATTTTTTAAAAGTTGTAAACAATTTTCCAAAGAAAATATACAAATGACCAATAAGTACATGAACAGATGCTGAAAATCACTAATCTTTAGAGAAATGCAAATCCAAGCCATAGTGTGAAACCGATTCACATCTGGTTATCAAAAACCAGAAAACAAAAAGTGTGGGGAAGGATGTGGAGAAACTGGAACCCTTGTACATTTCTCATGGGAATGTAAAATGGTGTAGCTGCTGTGGAAAACAATAGAGTGGGTCCTCAAAAAAATTATTATGATTTAACAATTCCATTTCTGTGTATATACACAAAAGAATTAAAAGCAGAGTCTCAAAAAGGTATTTGCATGCCCATGTTCATATCAGTATTAACAATAAACAAAGGGTGGAAGCAACCCAAATGTCCCATCAACAAATGAATAACCAAATGTGGTATATACATCTAATGCAATATTACTCAGCTTCAAAAAGGAAGGTAATTCTGACACACGCTGTAACACAAATGAACTTCAATGACATCATTCTAAGTGAAATAAACCAGTCACAAAACAACAAATATTGTATGATTCCACTTACATAAAGTATCTAGAGTCATAAATTCAGAGAGAAAGAAAGTAGAATGGTGGCTGCCAGGGGGAAGGGAAAATAGGGAGTTAATGCTAATAGTTATAGAATTTCAGTTTTACAAGAAGCAAAAGTTTTGGAAATTGGTTGCAGAACAAGGTGTATATACTTCAGACTACTGCACTGTAGAATTGAAAATGGTTAAGATGATAAACTTTATGTTCTGTATACTTTACCATAACTAAAAATTCAAAAAGAAAAAGAATGATATAGTAGACTTCGTGACAGCATAAGCTCTTGTGTACCCACTCCCAGAGATAAGGAAAAGCGGTGAAAACTTTTCAAAATCAATCATTTAAAGTCTCTGGGAAATGAGGAAATATTTATTCAAGAAAATCAACAGAGAAAATCTGAGGCATTTGAGCCACTATTTCCTCCCTTGCATTCCCAACCCTGAACTGAGAGGGCTCAGCTTGATGAAAATTTCATTCCAGGTGGATGCAAGCCAAGAACTAAGGACTCCTTCCTACTTGGGTGCAGCAGGGTGTCTGGGGCTTCCTTTCTCCACCCAGCCCTACTCATAAGATAAGTGGTTCTAACCCAAAGGCACTGCCCCCTGTCCCAACTGCAGTCTCCCTTACCCCAGCTTGTTACATAGCAGAGGGTCCATATTGGGAGAGGCAAGACAAAATAATCAGAGGCTACCTCTGCAGCTGGGCACGGAAAAGAGAGCCTTGAAGCTTTCCCCAAAGGAACTGACTTTATTTGAAACATAGTGTGGGGAAGTTCAAGCCTAAAGGGCACCCCTGAAACCAGCTTCTCTCAATTAAGAACAAGCTAAACATAAGCCAACTACTTCGTAAGAAAACCAGTGAAAGAGACAACTAAAAACAGCCCTTCTGGTTTCAGAACAACCCTGAGACTGGCTTGAAAGTCTATACCTGCCCAAATTAAATTGGATCAGACTGTAAAGAAATTTTTGTCCTAAAGCACTGCTGAAAACAGAGCAATTAAATAGTAGTTAGAAAGTAGCCAGGAACAGTGGCTCACCCCTGTAATACCAACATTTTGGGAGGCCAAGGTGGGTGGATCACTTGGGTCAGGAGTTCAGTATCAGCTTGGCTAACATGGTGAAACACCATCTCTACTAAAAATATAAAAATTAGCTGGGCATGGTGGCACATGCCTGTCGTCTCAGCTACTCAGGAGGCTGAGGCATAAGAATTCCTTGAGCCCGGGGCGGGGCGGAGGTTGCAGTGAGCCATCGTGCCACTGCACTCCAGTCTGAGTGACAGAGTGAGACCCTTTCCATAAAGAAAGAAAGAAAGTAATTATGGGAGCCAACAGTGTGATACCAAAGGAAGCAGAGAGCTATACAGAGATATCAGGGAAAGAGACAAAGTGAGCTCTGCTAAAACTACCATCATCCCAAATTAACTGTGAGCACAGCCAAGGCTGAGCTCTCTGAGGAGGAAGAAAAGCTTCATATTGCAAAAGACAGACTTCATTACATGAGTTTAGCCAGGTCACTAAACAAATAAACAAGCACACAACAATAAAAACAAGCCCCAGAGGAGGAGAATAAACATTCTCCAAAATTGCTACAATACAGTCCCTAAAATATCTCATTTTCAACAAAAAATGATGACATGTAAAGAAACAGGAAAGTGTGACCCACCCATAAGAAAAAGGTGGGCAAGGGCCGGGCACAGTGGCTCACGCCTGTAATCCCAGCACTTTGGGAGGCCGAGGTGGGTGGATCACAAGGTCAAGAGATCGAGACCATCCTGGTCAGTATGGTGAAACCCCGTCTCTACTAAAAATACAAAAAAAATAGCTGGGCATGGTGGCGCGTGCCTGTAATCCCAGCTACTCAGGAGGCTGAGGCAGGAGAATTGCCTGAACCCAGGAGGCGGAGGTTGTGGTGAGCCGAGATCACGCCATTGCACTCCATCCTGGGTAACAAGAGCAAAACTCCATCTCAAAAAAAAAAGAAAAAAAAGAAAAAAGAAAAAGAAAAAGGTGGGCAAAAGAAATTGCCTTTGAGAGGGCTCAGACATTAAATTAACAGAAAAAGACTTCAGATAAGCCATTATAAATATTTTCAAAGTAGAAAAGGAAACCATGCTTAAAGTAGTAAAGAAAGCCATAATGGCAATGTCTCATGAAAAAGAACATCAATAAAAAGACAAAAATTATAAAAAGAACCAAATGAAAATTCTGTCAAAAAGTACAATAACTAAAATGAAAAATTCACTAAAGGGGCTCAACACTAGATTTTAACCAGAAGTATTACCAAACTTGGACACAGGCCAGGCACAGTGGCTCACACCTATAATCCCAGCACTTTGGGAGGCTGAGGCAGGTGGATTACCTGAGGTCACAAGTTCGAGACCAGCTTGGCCAACATGACAAAAAATGTCTACTAAAAATACAAAAGTTAGCCAGGCGTGGTGGCACGCGCCTATAATCCCAGCTACTCAAGAGGCTGAGGCAAGAGAATTGCTTGAATCTGGGAGGCAGACATTGTGCCACTGCACTCCAGCCTAGGCAACAGAGCGAGACTCTGTCTCAAAAACAAAACAAACAAACAAAAAAAACACCTTGGACATAGATTGACAGAGATTATGTGATCAAAATATAGAGAGAAAATAAAAGAAATAAGAAAAACCAAAACATCTTACTTTTACTAATTTTTATAAACCTTTTAAAATTCCTAAGTCTAACAATATGAGGGCTCTTGGATACTTACCTTTTAAAAAATCTACTACACAGGCCAAAGCAGGTGGATCACCTGAGGTCAGGAGTTTGAAACCAGCCTGGCCAATATGTAAAAGCCATCTTTAATAAAAATACAAAAAGTAGCTGGGTGTGGTGGTGTGTGCCTATAATCCTAGCTACTCAGGAGGCTGAGGTAGAATTGCTTGAACCTGGGAGAAGGAGGCTGCAGTGAGTTGAGATCGCGCCACTGCCCTTTAGCCTGGGAGACAGAGCAAGGTTCCATCTGAAGAAAAAAAAAAAAAAAAAAAAAAAAAAAAAAAATCTGGCCGGGCCCGGTGGCTCATGCCTATAATCCCAGCACTTTGGGAGGCCGAGGCGGGTGGATCACAAGGTCAAGATATCGAGACCATCCTGGTCAACATGGTGAGCCCCGTCTCTACTAAAAATACAAAAAAATTAGCTGGGCATGGTGGTGCGTGCCTGTAGTCCCAACTACTCAGGAGGCTGAGGCAGGAGAATTGCTTGAACCCAGGAGTCGGAGGTTGCAGTGAGCCGAGATCGCGCCATTGCACTCCAGCCTGGGTAACAAGAGCGAAACTCCATCTCAAAAAATAAAAAATAAAAAAAATCCATTACACAATACAATCAGAATTATTTTAATTAACAAAATTGTATATATTTATTGTGGGCAACATTTTAAAAAATATATACATTGTAGAGTGACTAACTGTAGCTAATTAACACATATATTACCTCACAGAGTTATTTTTGTGGGGAAGACACTTAACATTTACTCTCTTAGCATTTTTCAAGAAAATAATATATGTTACTTGAAATATTCTCAAAAGTTTTTGATTAAAAAAAAAAAAGAATACAATATATTGGTTAGGTGTGGTGGCTCACACCTGTAGTCCCAACACTTTGGGAGGCTGAGTGGGGAGGATCGCTTGAACCCAGGGGTTCAAGACCAGCCTATGCAACATGGCAAAACCCCAATTTCACAAAAAAAATACAAAAATTAGCTAAGGGTGGTGGTGCACACCTGTGGTCACCAGCTACTCAGGAAGCTGAGGTGGGAGGATCAGTTGAGCCAAGGATATTTAGGCTGCAGTGAGCCGTGATCGCACCACCACAATTCAGCCTGTGTGACAAGAGTGATAGCCTGTCTCAAAAAAAGAAACAAAACCACAACAAAATATACACTATTAACTATAGCCATCATGTTGTAAAGCAGAACTCTTGAACTTACTCCTCCTACGTAACAAAATTTTGTATTCTTTGACCAACATCTTTCCTACCATCCAAGCCCATGGTAATCCCATTCTATGCTCTACTATGAGATTGACTTTTTTTTTTTTTGAGATGGAGGTTCGCTGTTGTTGCCCAGGCTGGAGTGCAATGGCGTGATCTCAGCTTACCACAACCTCCACCTCCCTGATTCAAGCGATTCTCTTGCCTCAGTCTCCAGAGTAGCTGGGATTACAAGAATGTGCCACCACTCCTGGCTAATTTTTTTGTATTTTTAGTAGAGATGGGGTTTCTCTGTCGGCCAGGCTGGTCTTGAACTCCCAACCTCAGGTGATCCACCTGCCTAATTTTTTATATTTTTGGTAGAGAGGGGGTTTCACCTTGTTTGCCAGGCTAGTCTTGAACTCCTAACCTCAAGTGATCCACCTGCCTCAGCCTCCCAAAGTGCTGGGATTACAGGCACGAGCCACCATGCCTGACCTTGACTTCATATTCTTTAGATATATATCCAGTAGTAGGAATGCTGGATCATACGGTAGTTCTATTTTTAGTTTTTAAAGGAACCTCCATACTGTTCCTCAAAACAGCTGTACTAATTTACATTCTTACTAACTTTGTGAGGATTCCTTGTTTCCACACCCTGGCCAACACTTGTTATCATTTGTCTTTTTGATAATGGCCATTTTAACCAGTGTAATGTGGTATCTCACTGTCATTTTAACGTACATTTCCCTGATCATTAGTGCTAAGCCTTAATGTTAAGCAGTTTTTCATATACCTTGGCCATCTGTATGTCTTTCACATACACTGGCCATCTGTATGTCTTCTTTTAAGAAATGTCTAACTGGTCCTTTGCCTTTTGAGACGGCATCTCACTCTGTTGCCCAGGCTGGAATGCAGTGGTGTGATCTCGGCTCACTGCAACCTTCCCTTTCCAGGCTCAAACAATTCTCCCACCTCAGCCTCCTGAGTAGCTGGGACTACAGGTGTGAGCCACTATACCAGCTAATTTTATCATTTTTTTTTTTTTTTAAGATGGAGTTTCACTCTTGTTGTCCAGGCTGTAGTGCAATGATATAATCTCTGCTCACTGTAATCTCTGCTTCCCGGGTTCAAGTGATTCTCCTGCCTCAGCCTCCCGAGTAGCCGGGATTACAGGTGCAAGCCACCACACCCAGCTAATTTTTAAATATTTTTGTAGAGACAAGGTATCACTGTGTTGCCTAGGCTGGTCTCGAGCTCCTGGGCTCAGGCAATCTCCCCACCTTGGCTGCCCAAAGTGCTGGGATTATAGGCATGAGCTGCCATGCCTAGCCCAGAATATTTTTTTTCCTAAGAGTTTCACTATTATTGCCTAGGCTGGAGTGCAACGACACAATCTCAGCTCATTGCCTCCCGGGTTCAAGCGATTCTCTTGCCTCAACCTCTGAGTAGCTGGGATTACAGGCATGCGCCATCATGCTTGGCTAATTTTGTACTTTAGTAGAGACAGTGTTTCTCTATGTTGGTCATGCTGGTCTTGAACTCCCGACCTCAGGTGATCTGCCCGCTTCAGCCTCTCAAAGTGCTGGGATTATAGGCATAAGTCACTGCACTCAGCCCCAAAATTTTAAAGACAGAGTTGACCTTACCAGTTATCAGAAGAAAGGATTAAAGAGTAAATATCTACTTTAATACAATGAAGAGTTTTATCTTATAGCTTTTGAGAGTATTACTACTTAAAAAGTGTTTAAAATGTTGGGTACTCATAGGCAAAAATAAGATAACCTATATGCAGTGGACATAATTATCTGTTGTTAAGAATCCAGATATCTTTCCCTTTCTTGCCAATTCTTTTTAAGATTACTTCTGTGGTATTTCTGCAGAAAAAAAATACATATCCTGAATTCAATAATGAGGAATCACCAAACTCAAACTGAAGGATAGTATACATAGTAACTGTCCTATATGCCTCTAAAATGTCATAGACAAAGAAAGACTAAAAAACCGCTCCAGATCAAGGGAGATGAAAAAGACATGGAAACTATATCACTAAATGCATCAGGTTATCTTTCATTGAATTCTGGAAAAGAAATGGGGAACAAGTCGTCATTTTTACACAGGATATTATTAGGGCTGGGTGCGGTAGCCCACGCTTATAATTGTAACGCTTTGGGAGGCTGAGGTGAGAGGATTGCTTGAGGCCAGGAGTTCAAGACCAACCTGGCCAACATAACGATACTCTGTCTCTTATTAGTTTTTTTTTTTTTTTTTTAATAAAAGGATATTAGGACAAATGGCAAACTTTGGGGACAAAAAACGAATGGTATTAATGTTAATTTCCTGACTTGATGTGCATAGTGTGGTTATGCAGGAAAATGTTCTTGTTTTTAGTAAGTGCAGACTTAAGTTTTTAAGAATAATGGGATATTATGCCTGCAATTTACTCAAAACTGGTTCAGCAAAATACATATATGAGCGTGCTTATATTGACAGAGAATATAATTAGACAAATATGGTAAAAATGTAACAATGAGGAAACTTAATGAAGGATATACAAGAATTCTTTTGTACTATTCTTGCATCTTTATGTTAAAAATAATTTCAAAATAAAGTTTAAAATAGTGGCTGGGCATGGTGGCTCACACCTGTAATTCCAGCACTTTGGGAGTCTGAGGTGGGTGGATCACTTAAAGCCAGGAGTTCAAGATCAGCCTGGCCAACATGGTGAAACCCCACCTCTACTAAAAATACAAAAAAATATTAGCTGGGTATGATGGTGCATGCCTGTAATCCCAGCTACTTCAGAGGCTGAGATAGGAGAATTGCTTGAACCCAGGAGGTAGAGGTTGCAGTGAGCCGAGATCACGCCATTGCACTCCAGCCTGGGCAAAAAGAAAAAAAAAATTTTTAAACTAGTGTAATCTTAAAACAATTGGCAAGAAGAGGGGAAATCTCTGGATTCTGATCAACAGATTAATCATGACCACTGCCCAAAAGTTATCCCATTTTTGCCTAAGAATGCACAACATTTTCTAAACTTGTGCAGGTGTATACTACCACAGGCATAGTAATGTTTGTAGCATTATAATTTCATAACATGAAAATATACTATTAATAGGCATTTTTGTAATACTGCAATCAAAATATCCATCATAAGGTTAAATAAAATTATTATAAATTCTGAAAAAAATAAGTTAGATTTCAATACACTTTAGCATTGCTGCTTTGACATTAACTCATAAAATATGAAAGGCTATCCATGGTAAGTGACATAAGCAAATTAACGTTTGTCTCATTCTGCATGTTTCTACATTCACAGAAGAGTATCTGGAAGAATTTATATCAATCTGTCAAAACAACCTCTGGTTGTAGGGGAAGAACTTTCAATTTTTACTTTATATACTTCTATATTGTTTGATGCTTTTTTTTTTTAAACAGGTCTCACTTTGTCACCCAGCCTGGAATGCAGTGGCGTGATCTCAGCTCACTGCAACCTCTACCTCCCAGGTTCAAGCGATTCTCCTGCCTCAGCTTCCCAAGTAACAGGGATTACAAGAGCGTGCCACCATGCCTGGCTAATTTTAGTATTTTTAGTAGAGATAGGGTTTCACCATGTTGGCTAGGCTGATCGAGAACTCCTAACCTCCAGTGATCTGCCTGTCTTGGCCTCCCAAAGTGCTGGGATTACAGCCATGAGCCACTGCGCCTGGCCTGTTTGATGCTTTAAAAAAAAAATCATAAAGGATTTATAATTATCTGGATCAAGAAATAAAACAACATATCTCACTGTATATAACAATAAGTTGGCCCACAAAAAGATACTGCTATAAAATCCTACTTCTTAAAAGAAAAGAAAAACCTATGTTATTACCTTGATTTCTCATTGGAATGGTTAGTAGAGCAAGGTATGGCAACAGCTGAGTTTGCAGGCATAAAGCTGGTAGGCAGAAGTCAGGAAAAAGTGCTTTTGCTGCCAGGCAATTTTCCCGATACTGTATGGAAAAGGAAAAAAAAAGATAAAGGAAAAATGAAATTAAAAATATGTATCCCTAGACAAACTAAGTTTATTATATAAACTTACATAATACGTTTTTATTAGGTTATGGGTTTATATATCACAAATATACTTTTAAGAGCTTATTTAAGTAGTCCTTTACAGTCTTCCTAGTATTGTTGAATAAAGTATTTCACCTACACAACTATTTCACATAGATATAACAAGAATTTTTAAAAGACATTGGATGAATAAGAAAAATTTAAAAATCAAAGGAATTCTGTTTATGAGCACACATCACAAATTACATAAAAATACTATTTTTCAATGAAATAATTCAGTTTCTTTAGTCTACACAATGTTAGTCTGAGGAAGAGAGAAGCATAATCCCTGCCTTCAAGAAGCTAACAGTCTTAGATAACTTATATGTTGCTACAATGCAAAATTAATATATGTGGTATAAGACAAAGCAAGTCAGTGAGATACAAATTGCTTAAAAGTCATTAAATTTTCCAATAAATCTGTTGGAAAAAATGTCCTAGGTAATATACTATAGGGTGATTTTCAGCTGTATGATTTTACAACTGGAAGACATCTCAGAGATGACCCAGGCCAGGGGTCATAAATTCAGATATTATAGAAGTCAAGCAGGCAATATAAGTGAATGAACCAGCTGGGGACAGTGGTGCCTACTACTCACATCTCAAAGGGGCAGATGCTACATGATGAGGTGATTGCCACTATGCAGAAATATGAGCCAGTGTTACTTCACTTGCCTTTTAGTTTTTTAAGAGATTGGTGGGGTGGGGTGGGGTGGGGTGCAGTTCACTCTGTCGCCCAGGCTGGAGTGCAGTGGCAAAATCATTGTTCACTGCAACCTCTGTCTCCCAGGCTTAAGCAATCCTCCCATGTCAGCCTCCCAAGTAGCTGGGACTACGTGGGAAAAACAAAAAAAAATTTTTTTTTCTTTTTCTTGTAGATTTGGGATCTCATTATGCTGCCCAGGCTGGTCTCAAACTCCTGGTGTGTGCCACCACACCCAGATAATTTTTTAAAACGCTTTTTATAGAGATGGGGTTTCACCATGTTGCCTAGGCTGGTCTCAAACTCCTGGGTTCAAGTGATCCTTCCATCTCAGCTTTCCAAAGTGCTCGGATTATATGTGTGAGCCACTGTGTCTGGCCTTTTTTTTTCCCCAAGAGATTCCGGAAATTCTGAAGCTAGAAATTCATATCTGACTTTTAATCATTTAAAGACTGGCAATTCATTTTGAAAACTCTGTTGTGTATTTTGTTTTCAACTCGTGGACCACCCATATTTTACTACTAAATAATTCAATCATCTACATTTTTAGCTGTGGAGAGTAAAAGCACATTAGGTGAATAACTTTTCCAGACACAGGCAGGGCCAAGATTTCTTCTCCTTTCTTTGATTAACTTAAATTGACGAATAAGCTCTGTATGTTTTTATAGTATACAAGATAATGTTCTGAAATATGAATATATGGTAGAATGGCTAAATGGAGCCAATTAACACATGCATTACCTTACATACATATATTTTTTGTGTGTGGTGAGAACACTTAAAATCTACTGTTTTAGTGATTTTCAAATACATAACACAGTGTTTTTATTTTATTTTAAGATGGAGTCTTGTTCTGTCACCCAGGCTAGTGTGCAGTGGCGTGATCTAGGCTCACTGCAACCTCCGCCTCCCAGGTTCAAACAATTCTCCTGCCTAAGCCTCCCAAGTAGCTGGTATTACAGGTGCCCGCCACCATGCCCAGCTAATTTTTTGTATTTTAGTAGATACAGGGTTTCACTGTCTTGGCCAGCCTAGTCTTGCACTCCTGGCCTTATGATCTACCTGCCTCAACCTCCCAAAGTGCTGGGATTGCAGACCTGAGCACTGAGCATGGCCAACACATTGTTATTAATAGTCACCATGTTATACAAAATATCTCTTGAACTTAAAACTTATACCTGCTGTCTAACTGAAATTTTATATACTAGGGATTTCTGTTTTCCAGTCAACATTTTCAGGTTGAACTAGTGTTTATTTCTAATTTTGTTTTTCTTTTTCTTGTAGATATGGGATCTCACTATGTTGTCCAGGCTGTCTCAAACTTGGGGTCTTCTTGTCTCGGCCTTCCAAACTGCGGGGATTACAGGTGTGAGCCACCATGCCTGGCCCTAAAGTTTATGTTTAATTGAAACTAAAATATAAATATGCAGCTGGGTGCAGTGGCTGACACCTGTAATCCTAGTACTTTGGGAGGCTGAGGTGGGCAGATCACTTGAGGTCAGGAGTTCAAGACTAGCCTGGCCAACATGGTAAAACTCTGTCCCTGTCTCTACTAAAAATTTAAAAATGAGCTGGGTGTGGAGGCATGCACCTGTAATCCCAGCTACTTAGGAGGCTGAGGTGGGAGAATTGCTTGAACCTAGGAAGCAGAGGTTGCAGTGAGCTACTACACTACACTCCAGCATGGGTGACAGAGCTACTCTGTCTCAATTTTAAAAAACAAATAAAAACTAAATTATAACTATGCTTGGATTCCAATAAAACTAATAAATAAAACATGTATATGTATTCAAATTTTGATAGTCTTTTTTCCTTTAAAAAACTGTACAAGTGTTTAAGAGTTACCTTTCTATGTTTTATAAAAACTCAGAATCTAATTGTGGACCTTGGCAACTATTTCGTTAAAAATGAAACATTTTTTCCTTTGTTATGTTTTAAAGAAAATAACAGCTTTGAATTATAATTCATGTATCATGAAGTTCACATATTAAAAGTATACAATTCTTTTTTTTTTTTTTACCTTTTTACTTATTAGAAACCACTGGGGTTTATGCAAGGGTCGAAAACTTGATCCTCCTCCTTGGCAATGAGCATATCCTCGGGCTTTGTTGGAATGTATCACACCTCTCGTAGCTACAGATGTGCTATATTCCCTGAGTAAAGAGCGTGTCTAACAAATGAGAAAAGAAGTGAAAAAAAAGATTTATAAAAGAGCATTACTGGTATTCCTGACATGCACAAAAACACTAAGCGTATTTAGTGTCTATGTGTTCACTTTCTTCAACATTACTACAGCCCTATAAAAAAACAGCACTACAAACTTATTTAAAGCAAATTCCACTGGGACCTATCAATCAAATGCAATGTATAAAGCCTGACTGGATCTTGGACAGGGGTGGGGGAAACAACTTTAAATACATTTTTGAGGCAAATGAGAAAATCTGAATAGGGACAATATATTGCTAGATTAATGTTAACTTTCTTAGGTATAATAATGCTATGGTATTGTATTAAAACAATGTCCTTATGCATGCTTAAGTATTAAGTGTCATGACGTTCCCAACTATTAATACTTTCCAATTATTCAGCCAAAAACAAATGTGTAAATGTATAGAGAGATTAAGAAAATGCGGCACGGCCGGGCACGGTGGCTCAAGCCTGTAATCCCAGCACTTTGGGAGGCCAAGGCGGGTGGATCACAAGGTCAACAGATCGAGACCATCCTGGTCAACATGGTGAAACCCCGTCTCTACTAAAAATGCAAAAAGTTAGCTGGGCATGGTGGCGTGTGCCTGTAATCCCAGCTACTCAGGAGGCTGAGGCAGGAGAATTGCCTGAACCCAGGAGGCGGAGGTTGCGGTGAGCTGAGATGGCACTATCACACTCCAGCCTGGGTAACAAGAGTGTCTAAAAAAAAAAAAGAAAATGTGGCAAAATATGCAACTGTCAAACTAAAGTTAAGGATATGCAGCTATTCATTGCACTATCATCAAAAAAATTTTTTTAATTTGTGTGGGTACCTAGTAGCTGCATGTATTTATGAGGTACATGAGGTACTTTGATACTGGCATACAATGCATAATCATTACCTCAAGATAAATGGGGTATCCATTATTTCAACCATTATCAAACAATTCAATTACAGTCTTTTCGTTATTTTGTATTATTATCTAAGACAGGGTCCTGGTCTGTTGCCCAGCCTGGAATGTAATGGCATGATCACAACTCACTATAACCTCAAATTCCTGGGCTCAGGTGATTCTCCCACCTCAGTCTCCTGAGTAGCTGGGACCACCTATGCCCAAGGAATTTTCTTGGTATTTTTCTATAGAGACAGGGTTTTGTCATGTTACTCTGGCCAGTCTTGAACTCATGAGCTCAAGTGAGTTCTGCCTGCCTCAGCCTCTGTTAAGTGCTGGGTTTACAGGTATGCCCTACTGAGCCCGGCCTTAATTTAACACTTAGAACCACAGAAATATTAACATATCAAAACAGTGTTGTCCAACAGAACTTCCTGTAATAATGGAAATGTTTTGTATCTGGGCTGTTAAGTAAAGCAGCCATCAACAACATGCAGTTATCAAGCACTGGAGATGTGGCCAGTATGACTGAGAAATCGAATTTTTAATTAAATTTAAATGTCAATAGCTACATGTGGTTGGTGGCTGTTGTACTGGTAAAGGCAGTGTTAAGATGTTAAGAAAAAAATATAAATTTTATAGTTAAAAACTTACAAATATGTAAAAGAAATACATTTTTAAAACTAGCAGAAAGTGTAGCAACATGTACAGTTCTTTCTCTTGTATCTACTTTTTAATGGTTGTCAAATTTTGAGTATATATTAATTTTAAAATCAGAAAATGAGCTGGGGTTGGGCGTGGTGGCTCACGCCTATAATCTCAGCACTTTAGAGGCCAGGGCAGGTAGATTGCTTGACCTCAGGAGTTCGAGACCAGCATGGGTAATATGGTAAAACCCTGTCTCTAAAAAAAAAAAAAAAAAAAAAAAAAAAAAAATTAGTGGGGCATAGTGGTGCTTGCCTATAGTCCCAGCTACTGGATGAGGAAGTGCCTGAGGTTGGAGGATCCCAGAAGGTCAAGGTTGCAGTGAGCTGTGTTTGTACCACTACACTCCAGCCAGGGCAAAAAAGTGAGATACTGTCTCAAAAAAAAAAAAAAAAAAGAAAGAAAAGAAAAAGAAAATAAGTTGGGCATGGTGGTGTGTGCCTGTATTCCCAGCTACTTGGAAGGCAGAGACAAAAGGTTTCCCCTAAACCCGTAGTTCAAGATCAGGCTGGGTAACACAGCTATAGCTAGAGCCTCCTCTCAAAAAAACAAAAAACCATAACCACAAAACCAGAAAATAATTTTAGAAACCGGAGTGGTAGCTCACACTTGTAATCCCAGCACTTTAGAGGCTCAGGCAAGAGGACTGTCTGAGCCCAGGAATTTGAGACCAGCTTGGGCAACACAGTGAGACCCTGTCTCTACACACACACACACATACACACACACACAGATACACACACACACAGATACACAAACACACACACACAGATACACACACACACACAAACTTTAGAAACAACTGGTGCTATATTGTCAGCAGCAAAATCAGATTTGCTACTGAAGCTTTATTATAAACACTGAGTTGGATACATTAACTTTAGCATAGTTATGAAGAATGCCAGGCAATTAGGGATAAAAGTAAACTTTCTTAATTCTAAGCAAATACTGATAAACATAAACATGTAAGTCAAATGGTCTTACATTCCAGTCACCACTGAGGATATCTGCAAAACTTAGAAATTCACTGGCCCTCACAATATCATCAATTTCCATGAAGAAATCTATGTAGTTTTGGTGAAGATATAAATTAAATAAGTCTCCTGGCATGTGTGACATTTCTACTACCTCCTATAAAAAAAAGCATAGATACATAAATTTGGTAAAAAGTAATGGTCAGATATATATGCACACAAATAATGTATCTTTTGTAATCTGTACTAAGTGTCATTAAAGATCTTACCTCAGGTTCAACAAGTAATGTATCCCGTTCATATTCTGATAAATGAGAGGGCAACCGAGATGAGTCTAATTCTGTTAAAGACGTTCCTATAAAAAATTTCTGAAATTATTAAATATATTCTCTATAATTATATAGCACCTCTCATTTGAACATTTTGAAAACTTTGGACATACAATGCTAACACAGTAAGCAAACTGTTAAAAAAGAATAAATAAAAAACAACTGGAAGCAAGCACCCATTTTTTCCGTATTAGCAAGAGCTAAATTTAGAAGTCAGATGCTTAGATTATAGCTTTTCTACACTTAAAATATTCTATTTCCTAATGCACTCCCATTTCACTTTTTCCAGCTTTGGGTTGCTTTCTTCCCTTGATTCTCATCTCAATACAGTGGTCTTTACTCTCTTATTTACGATGTAGGAAGATGGTGTTCTCTACATGAGAGAGTAAGAATTCCATTGACTAACACGAGAAAGAGACAATAAATGTATGTTGGGGAGGAAAAGAATGGGGGGAAGGAAAAGAATCAGGTGGGAACAGTCATTCAGATTCAAAGTAAGAGGATCCAGTGACAGAGGAGTGTCCTTACTGCCACCTAAGTGATGCCCATTTCATTTTCCTCAGATTATATGAAGGTTTCCATTAAGAAATCCCAATTTCTGAGTTCATGTCCTCTGCAAGGACATGGACAAAGCTGAAAACCATCATTCTCAGCAAACTGACACAAGAACAGAAAACCAAACACTGCATGTTCCCACTTATAAGTAGGTGTTGAACAATGAGAACACATGGACACAGGCAGGGGAACATCATACACTGGGGCCTGTTGGTGGGGGTGGAGGGCTGTGTTAGGGGAGGGATAGCATTAGGAGAAATACCTAATGTAGATGATGAGGTGGGCAAACCACCATGGCATGTGTATACCTATGTAACAAACCTGCACACTCTGCACATGTACCCCAGAACTTAAGCGTTAAAAAAAAACAAAAAAGAAAGAAATCCTAATTTCTTTCATTAGGATCATTAGAGTGAAAATAGGCATTTGCTATCAAAAGGAGGAACAATTTGGGAGACTACAGATAGACAATAGGGAGGGGAGGAACTGAGAGGGAGCAGTCATCAAAAAAGACAGAAAGGGCAATAAACATCTCTTGTTGGGGAGACACCAGGCTTGTAAACTAGACAAATACAAGAGGACTGACAGAAACCTTAAACGACCTAATTTGTCTAAGCCCCCAGTGGCTGGAGCCCAGTGGGGTTTAGGCTACCAAACCCTTAAAGGACTTTAGGTTACCAACACTTGCCACTAAAAGTCTAGATGATCTGCTCTCTTACCTTCTGCAAACTATAATTTTAAAGATTTACATGCATGGATATGGTCTACATTACCATGTTTTTATTTTTAATCATCCTGCTCATGGTCAGAAAATACTCTATTTTCCTACTACTTCTTAGGCGTAGGCAAACAGCATCTGACCTAGCTCTAGCTCTTAAGAGCAGAACCAAAATACATGACATTTTTTAAAAGGTGACATTTTATTTCCATTTTAAGACTACGTGACATCTAACAGATTTAGAAAATGTAAAAATTTCTTACTTTTACAATATAGAATTTTCCCCAAAGCTCTGAAGAGAAACAGAGAAACATCTTTGCCACCAATAGCTTGGACCTCTTGATTTTCAAAAACCCTATCAGGTTTTTTTCTTCGTTTTGATTTTGACAGCACAGCATCCGATTTTAGAGACATTCCTTTTTTCCTTGGCCGTAAGTTGTTTTCTCCTGAATAATATACACCCAAGTGACAATATTTAAATTAAAATGTGAAAATTTAAACTAAAAACACTTCAGTGTTTTTAGTGTACTATAAATATAGTTACACTAAATATTTTAATTAAACTATATTTTCCTAATAAACAAAAATTATAAATGACATTAACTGAGTCAGAGTCCTCTTTGGGTTACTAACATTAAAATAGAATGAAATATTATTTGAAAGTTATTTCATAATGCAGATTTCAAACTTTCGCATGCACAATAGCAAACTCTCTAATAGGCTGACATTCCTCATCCAAAAATTCAAACCCCAAAATGCTCCAAAATATGAAACTTGCAGTGCCAATATGAGGCTCAAAGAAAATGCTCACTGGAGCACTTTGTATTTCAGATTTTCAGATGAGGGATTTTCAATTAGTATACTGCAAATATTCCAAAATCTAAAACGAATCTGTGATCCTTCTATTCCCAAGCATTTCAGATAAAGGATATACAACCTGTTAAGTCATATCACCTTGGTTTCTCATGGTGTTATGTGAAAGGTACTGTTCTTGGCATGTGATATACATGAATCTGATCTTCATAATAACCCTGTGAGAGGAGAATTTTTTTTTTTTTTGAGATGGTGTCTTGCTCTGTCACTCATGCTGGAGTGCAGTGGTGCAATCTTGGCTAACCACAACCTGTGCCTCCTGTGTTCAAGTGATTCTCTTGCCTCAGCCTTCCAAGTAGCAGGGATTGCAGGCATATGCCCGGATAATATTTTGTATTTTTAGCAGAGACAGGGTTTCATCATGTTGGCCAGGCTGGTCATGACCTCCCAATCTCAAGTGATCCACCTGACTTGGCCTCCCAAAGTACTGGGATTATAGGCGTGAGCTACCACGCCCGGTTTTTTTTTTTTTTTTTTTTTGACACAGGGTCTGGGTCTATCACCCAGGCTGGAGTACAGCAGCACAATCATAGTTCACTGAAGGCTGAACCTCCAGGCTCAAGTGATCCTCCTACCTCAGCCTCAAGTAGCCGGGACTATAGGTATGCACCACCATGGTGGCTAAATTTTTTAAAATTAGAGACGAGGTCCCACTAAGTTGCTCAGGCTGATATAAGACTCCTGAAGTTGAAGCTTCCTTCGACCTTAGTCTCCTATAGTGTTGGGATAACAGGCATGAGCCACTGTACCTGACCAAGAATTATTATTAGACAGTTAATGAAATAAGATATAAAGAGGTTTAAAGAGGTTAAATAACTGGATCAAGGTCATCAGTGAGTGAGTGATTGGAATCCAGGCAGTCTGGTTTTGCAATCTACATTTAACAACCTCTCTATTGATGTTGACAGTACCCAATTTATGAATATGCATGTGATCAAATATCTTGCTTTTTTTCTTAAGTTTTTTGTAGAGACAAGGTCTTGCTATGTTGCCCCAGCTGGTTTCAAACTCCTAGGCTCCAGTGATTCACCCACTTTGGCTTCAGGCAATAGTTACCATGCCTGCTCCAAATTTCATTTTTAAGCCTACTATTTAGAACTCAAGTACATGCCTTAAAAGCTGCTTAAAACAGCAGAAAGAGCACAGGATCTGGATTTGAATCAATGTATTGTTTATCTCATTAAGCTGATATGAGAATTAAATGAAAAAACGTAATTGCTAACATAGTTTCTGGCCCACTCTTTAAGGTCATATTGTTAACATTAAGCTTTAAGTAAGTATCTGCTAAATGCCTTCTGATAAGGACAATGCAGTAAACTACGATCATTACAGTAAAAATGTAACTCATTGCCATTAGTGAAGCTATCTTTTTGCTACACCATGGTTATTCACACTTTTTACATATTAACAGGAAATAAATTTATTAAACATATCTCATAAATTATCATAAAAATAATCTCAAAAGTAAACCAACCTCAGCACAATACTATTAAACTGATCAATGGCTGGCCATTTATTGAGCACTTAATATGAATCAAGCACTGTAAGAAGCACTCTATAAGTATCACCTTACATATTCTTCACAGAACTCTAAGATGTAAATTCTCACATAAAAGGTGAGAAAAAAGAGGCACAGAAAGATAAAGTCACCTGCATAGGCCTATATAACTGGTAAGTGGCAGAGACAAAATTTTTATAAAGGAAGTCTCATTCTAAATTAACTTTGAAAGGTCAACTAACTCAAACAGAAACAAAGATACATACTACGACATATTCATAGAAGGGTATGTATGCATGTGTACATATTTCTTTTTAAGCCACTGTCTCAATAAAAAAGAAGAATAGATAGGTATAGATCAAATATAAGTTAAAATGTTTATTTTGGCTGGTGCGGTGGCTCATGCCTGTAATCCCAGAATTTTGAGAGGCTAAGGTGGGTGGATCACTTGAGGTCAGGAGGTAACAACCAGCCTGACCAACATGGTGAAACCCTGTTTCTACTAAAAATAAAAAAAAAAAAAATTAGCTGAGCATGGTGACAAAAGGTGCCTGTAATCCCAGCTTCTTGGGAGGCTGAGGCAGAATTGCTTGAACCCGGGAGGCAGAGGTTGCAGTGAGCTGAGATCGCGCCATTGCACTCCAGCCTGGGCAACAAGAGTCAAACTCCATCTCAAAAAAAAAAATCAATCAGGCCGGGCCTAGTGGTTCATGCCTGTAATCCAAGCACTGTGGAGGCCAAGGCGGGCAGATCACCTGAGATCAGAAGTTCAAACCAGCCTGACCAACATGGTGAAACCCCAACTTTAAAAAAATAAATAAATAAAATTTAAAAAATAATAAATTAATTAATTAGGCTGGGAAAGGTGGCTCACACCTATAATCCCAGCACTTTTGGAGGCCGAGGCAGGTGGATCACCTGAGGTCAGCAGTTGAAGACCAGCCTGACCAACATAGGGAAACTCTGTCTCTACTAAAAATATTAGCTGGGCGTGGTGGCTCATGCCTGTAATCCCAGCTACTCAGGAGGCTGAGGCAGGAGACAACCTGAATCTGGGAGGTGGAGGTTGTGGTGAGCCCAGATCGTGCCATCGCACTCTAGCCTGGGCAACAAGAGCAAGACTCTGTCTCATTCATTCATTCATTCATAAATAAAAGTTTATTGGCCAGGTGCAGTGGCTCATACCTGTAATGCCAGTACTTGGGGAGGCCGAGGCAGGTGGATCACTTGAGGTCACCATTCGAGACCAGCCTGACCAATACCTTACCAACATGGTGAAACCCTGTCTCAACTAAAAATACAAAAATTAGCTGGGTGTGATGGTGTGTGCCTATAGTCCCAGCTACTCGGGAGGCTGAGGCAGGAGAACCACTTGAACCAGGGAGGTGGAGGTTGCGGTGAGCTGAGATTGCACCAACGCACTCCAGCCTGGTGACAGAGCAAGACTCTGTTTCAAAAAAAAAAAAAAGTTTATTTTGATTTCTTGAACAAATAATTAAGAGAAAGTCAGTCACCTATATAATGCCACAGGACTGTATCTTCCATAGTTACCTTTTGAAGAAGAAAACTGGAGGCTGTTTATTGCACTTCTGATATCACCAGAACATCCTTGACAGAGCAACTCTAGAGAAGTTTTGTCAGGGACAGTAATTTTTCCTCCATTCTAAAATTAAAAAATTAAATGAAAAAAAAAAGAGTATTTTCTTAAAAATAACAACAATAAAAAACCCCAACCTATTTTCTAAACTTAATGAAAGTAAATTAGATTCTTTTAAACTTAAATACTAAAAAGGGCTGGACACGATAGCACATTCCTGTAATCTCAGCAATGTGGGAGGCAGAGGCAAAAGGATCACTTGAGCTCAGGAGTTCGAAACCAGCCTAGGCAAGGTAGGAAGCCCTCAATTCTACAAAACATCAGAAGAATTAGCGGGGCATGATGGTGTGAGCCTGTAGTCCCTGCTCCTTTGGAGGCTAAGGTGTGAGGATCGCTTAAGCCCTGGAGGTGAAGGCTGTAGTGATCTTGCCACTGGACTCCAGCCTGGGCAATAGGGCTAGAAAAAAAAATTACCTCAAAATAATAATAAAAACTAAAAAGCCTCCATGTTAAACACTGGTCTATGAATGGTACAAGCATCAATGACTTATTACAGTTTAAGGTAAACTTTCAGGAAATATTAAATACTATACTTTTTTACTTTTTCACTTTGACCATTTGTATTTTAAGAATTTTACTTTTTCTCACTATATAAACACAGATATATATTAACCTATATATGTACACGCATACACAAAAAAACCCCTCAAAATGCAATAGAATGTGATCAAATTAAATATACACACAAAATAATCTGATATATTTACAAAATTTACATGGAAATTCCTTTACTAGGGTTTTCAACATATTATACAGTCTGGTGAGGATGAAAAAGCCACAATTACCCCAGTTATTTTTTCTTCTTCTTTTTTTTTATTTTAAACTGGAGCCATTTGAACTGATGAAGTCACTTAAAAAACACTTTTTTCTTGACAGAAGGTCTCACTATATCATCCAGGCTGGCCTTGAGCTCCTGGGCTCAACCAATCCTCCAATCTCAGTATCTGGAGCTGGGACTACAGGCATGCACCATGGCTCAATTTGCAGTGCTCATGCTTACAGTAGAGAATGTAGTTTTTTTTTGAGATAATGTCTCGCTTTGTCACCAGGCTGGAGTACAATGATGCAATCTCAGCTCACTGCAGCCTCCTCGGAGGCAGAGCCTCCTGGGTTCAAGCAATTCTGCCTCAGCCTCCCGAGTAGCTGGGACTACACGTGGGCACCACCACATCCAACTAATCTTTGTATTTTTAGTAGAGACGGGATTTCACCATGTTGGCAAGACTGTTTTTGAACTCCTGACCTCAAATGATCTGTCCATCTCAGCCTTCCAAAGTGCTGGGATTACAAGGTAGATTTTTTGTTTTGTTTTTGAGACAGAGTCTCGCTTTGTCGCCCAGGCTGGAGTGCAATGGCGCAATCTTGGCTCACTGCAACCTCCGCCTCCCAGGTTCAGGTGATTCTCCTGCCTCAGCCTCCCAACTAGGTGGGATTATAAGCACCCGCCATCATGCCTGGCTAATTTTTGTATTTTTAGTAGAGATAGGGTTTCACCATGTTGGTCAGGCTGGTCTCAAACTCCCAACCTCAGGTGATCTGCCCACCTTGGCCTCCCAAAGTGCTGGAATTATAGGCGTGAGCCACCTTGCCTGGTCTGATAACATAATTTCTATTGAGAGTGTTACATAATTTTGCCTCTTTAAAAAAAGATATATATTTTTGAGATGGAGTCTTGTTCTGCTGCCCAGGATAGAGTGCAGGGGTGTGATCTTGGCTCACTGACACCTCTGCTTCCCGAGTTCAAGTGATTCTCCTGCCTCAGCCTCCCAAGTAGCTGGGACTATAGGCGCATGACAACCACCTGGCTAAGTTTTTGTATTTTTAGTAGAGATGGGGTTTCACTGTGTTAGCCAGGATGGTCTCGATCTCCTGACCTTGTGATCTGCCCGCCTAAGCCTCCCAAAGTGCTAGGTTACAGGCGTGAGCCACTGCGCCCAACCAAAAAAAAATTTTTTTTAGAGATAGGGTCTAGCTCTGTCCACGAAAGACATGTCATGTCACCTAGATCACTGCAGCCTCAGATTCCTGGGCTCCAGCAATCCTATTGCCTCAGCCTTCTGAGTAGCTGGGACTAAAGGAGCATACCACCACGCCCAGTTAACTTTATAAGAAATCTTTCGTAGGCTGAGCACTGTGGCTCACATCTGTAATTCCAGCACTTTGGGAGACTAAGGCAGGCAGATTGCTTCTCAGGAGTTTGAGACCAGCCTGGGCAACATGGCAAAACCCTGTGTCTACAAAAAATACAAAAAACTAGCCAGGACCAAGTATAATGGCTCAGCCTATAACCCCAGCACTTAGAGACGCTGAGGTGTGGATGGATCACTTGATGCCAGAAGTTTGAAACCAGCCTGGCCAACATGGTGAAAACCTGTCTCTACTAAAATACAAATATTAGTTGGATATGATGGTGCATACCTGTAATTCCATCTATTGGGAGGCTGAGGCATGAGAATCACTTGAACCAGGAGGCAGAAACTGCAGTGAGCCAAGATTGTACCACTGCACTCCAGCCTGGGCAACAGAGAGAGACCCCATATCAAACAAATAAGCAACAACCAAAAAAAAAAAAAAAAAAAACTAGTCGGTTGTGTGCTGCATGTCTGTAGTCCCAGCTACTTGGGAGGCTGAGGTGGGAGCACTGCTTGAGCCTGGGAGGTTGAGGCTGCAGTGAGCCGAGATCACGCCATTGTACTCCAACTTAGGACAGAGTGGGACCCTGCCTTAAAAAAATTTTTTTTTTTTGATAAAGACAGAGTATTGCTATGATACCCAGGCTGGTCTCAAACTCCTGACCTCAAGCAATCCTCCTGCCTCAGCCTTCCAAAGTATTGGGATTACAGGAATAAGCCACCATACTGGGCCACCTCTCGTTATTTTATTTTTAATACAACATTAAACTGTGATCATTTTCCATGTCATTAAATACAGACACACACACACACACACACACACACACACACACACATATTTTGAGATGGAGTTTCATTCTTTGTCCAGGCTGAAGTGAACTGGCTTGATCTTGGCTCACTGTAACCTCAGTCCCCCGGGTTCAAGCAATTCTCCTGCCTCAGCCTCCTGAGTAGCTGGAATTACAGGTGCCCGCCACCATACCAACTATTTGGTATACAAACTAATACAAACTAATACAATTTTTGTATTTTTATCAAAGACGGAGTTTTGCCTTATTGGCCAGGCTGGTCACGAACTCCTGACCTCAGGTGATCTGCCCGCCTTGGCCTCCCAAAGTGCTAGGACTACAGGCATGAGCCACCAAGCCCGACACATTAAATATTTTCAAAACACTAAGAGCATAATAATTCATCACAGTAATTGCTTCCTATATTACTAGATTCAGTTTATTTCTCATTTTTCACTATTAATATCTGTTATTTATTCAGCTAGGTGCTCTACATTAACATGTTTAATCTTCAAAACCTTTCCCTTCGAGATTTCCTTCAGTCCCTGTTGTCACAGCAGTGCAACAAAAATTATTATGCAAGAATTGGTTGGTGTATACCAGTAGGATTCCCTAGAACCATGATGCTGGGAGCAGAATGTCCATCGGTTTTTTTCTTTTCAACATCATCTTGATTTGAAATATAGAAAAAAATGACATACTAAAAGTGACAAGAGGTCGGGCACAGAGGGTCATGCCTGAAATTTCAGCACTTTCAGAGGCTGAGGCAGGAGGGTCAATTGAGCCAGGAATTTGAGATGAGCCTGGGCAATACTGGGAGACACTGTCTCTACAAAAAATAAAAAAATCAGCCAGTCATAGGCTGGGCAGGGTGGCTCATGCCTATAACCCCAACACTTTGGGAGGCCGAGGCGGTGGATCATGAGGTCAAGAGATTGAGACCGTCCTGGTCAACGAGGTGAAACCCCGTCTCTACTAAAAATACAAAAATTAGCTGGGCGTGATGGCGCACGCCTGTAGTCCCAGCTACTCGGGAGGCTGAGGAAGGAGAACTGCTTGAACCCAGGAGACGGAGGTTGCAGTGAGCCAAGATCGGGCCATTGCACTCCAGCCTGGGTAACAAGAGCAAAAAACTCCATCTCAAAAAAAAAAATTAGCCAGTCATGGTGGTGCCAGCCTATAGTGCCAGCTGCTCAGGAAGGGGAGGTGGAAGGAACACTTGAGCCCAAGAGGTTGAGGCTGTAGTAAGCCATGATTATGCCGCTGTAGTCTAGCCTCAGAAACAGAGTGAGACCTCGTCTCCAAAAAAAAAAAAAGTGACAACAGCTGTATATGAATGTAAATATACTTTACACTACTGAACTATATATCCAAAAATGGTTAAGATGATATATTTTATAATACGTGTTTGTCACTACAAATTTTTTTAAAAAGTTAAAATAAAGAAGTGACAACAGGACAATAGAAACAGTTAAATTATTGATAACTAACTACCATATCTAAATACCAGAAAACATTTTCTTGATGACAGAAACAATTTAGAACAGTAAACCAAGCAAAGGAAAAATATACCTCAATGTGAAAGTAAAAGTTTAATAGTAGGAAAATTTTAAAAATCACTATTTCCTACATTTGCTAAAATGACAGGCTTTATGAGTATAACAAAATGTTTTAATTCTAAAAAATTAAAATAATACATGTTGCTAGCTCCTTCAATTTATATAATACTATGTAAGCTTAAGCTGGACTTTCTATAGTTTTAAGGTTTACTTAAAGACTTACCTTGTTAGCTTCTATAGTCACTATTCGATTAAGAAATTTCATCATAATTGTTGGTGCCACAGGGTTGAAACTAAAAGTTTTATAAAGAAAGATAGCAGTTAAGTGATTAAGTTAAAACTACAATATGCATATGGTCTTTATAAACAGAAATTTCTTTCTTACTTAATATTTGAGATACAACATTCTTCCTGAATTTCTTTGGGAAACAATAACCTTTGATTATTATCTCCACTGAGACTGTCAGAGATTATAAATATAAGAGGACATCGACCAATCTTCACATACTTCCTAAAATAACAAAATACAGGAATGTTGAAATTTAAACCACTTGTCATTTAATTTGGAATTTTAGAATACTTCACTGAAACTTACCTTAGAACTTCATGTAAAGTATGAGAATCCCGATAAAACTGGTTAGGTAAATCCTATGGAACATAAAAAACGAACAATAATATAGTTTATTCCACTGCATATTTATTTTTCAGATTTATACTTTATTCTTCATATTTATACTTATACTTAAGCATCCTTACACTTAAAAATATATTTATTCTATATATTTTAAAGAGAATTTTCATAGAAGTTAGAGGAAACATGAAATAGATGATATCCCAAACAGTAATATACATCAATGGAGATCTCAATTTCAGACCAAATTTCATAGGGTTGCTTTTCAGTTACAGTATTTTCACTGGGAAGTAATTTTCCAAACTTTCCTTTTGCTTTTCTATACTTAAACCATTAAAAATTTAATGTTCCTTATCCTACAGCTATTCCATTCAGGTTTATTAAAAAAGACTTTAGGTTTCTACTATTACAAAGCCTTTGTGCTGTACTTTACCAATATTACTACTATAGAAACAGTTAAAGTTATCATGTAAGATATATCTCACATCTATTTGGTCAATAGCTACAGAAAGATTTTAAAAGTTGGCTGGGTGCAATGGCTCACACCTGTAATCCCAGCACTCTGGAAGGCCAAAGTGGGCGGATCACCTGAGGTCAGGAGTTCGAGACCAGCCTCACCAACATGGCAAAACCCCATCTCTACTAAATATACAAAAATTAGCCCGGCATGGTGGCAGGTGCCTATAATCCCAGCTACTCAGGGGAGGCTGAGGCTTGAGAATTGTTTCAGTCCAGGAAGTGGAGGGCAGAGGTTACAGAGAGCTAAGATTGCACCATTGAATTCCAGCCTGGGGGTTAAAGGGAGACTCTGTCTCAAAAAACAAACAAACAAAAAACATTTTAAAGTTGTCCTTACTTCAACCAGAATTATCTTCTTATCAGTTCTCAGATCATCTCCAAGCATTTGTAACTTGTTATACTTTGTTGCTCTTAGTAGAAACTCCTTGAAAACTGCTATCTGAGACTGATAGGGAAACATATGGAAGCTTGATTCTGAAAGGAAACACATATACCATTTTTATTTTCAACAAATTATATAAATATTATACATCTCAGTGTATACACACACACACACATACACTCGATGCATCTCACAATACTGTAGACTGTTTCCTAATTATGAAAAATTATTTAAAGTTAAAATAGGATATTTCTTTCAAAAGACAAGAGTCAACATGGGGCCAGGCACAGTGGCTCATGACTGTAATCCTAGCATTTTGGGAGGCCAAGGTAGGTGGATCACTTGACCTCAGGAGTTCAACAGCAGCCTGGGCAACATGGTAAAATCCTGTCTCCACAAAAAAATACAACAATTAGTCTGGTGTGGAGGCTTGTGCCTGTAGTCCCAGCTACTTGAGGGGCTGAGACGGTGGGGATCGTTTGAGCCTAGGAGGTTGCATTGAGTTAACTCTGTATTACACACAGTGAGACTGTTGCTATTCTTGCTATTTGTTTTCTTTAAATAAGAGTGAGACTCTGTCTAATATAGAGTTAACTGACCTAAGAACATAGTTGTCAGTATAACATTCATAAAACTGGTAAAAATATTTATGACTTTGGCCTACCAATGAAGAATTTTTTTTCATTTCTTTTCTTTTTTTTTTTTGAGACGGAGTTTTGCTCGTTACCCAGGCTGGAGTGCAATGGCGCGATCTCTGCTCACCGCAACCTCCGCCTCCTGGGTTCTGGCAATTCTCCTGCCTCAGCCTCCTGAGTAGCTGGGAATACAGGCACGCACCACCATGCCCAGCTAATTTTTTGTATTTTTAGTAGAGACAGGGTTTCACCATGTTGACCAGGATGGTCTCGATCTCTTGACCTCATGATCTACCCGCCTCGGCCTCCCAAAGTGCTGGGGTTACAGGCTTGAGCCACCGCACCTGGCCTTTTTTTTTCTTTTTTTAAGACAGGGTTTCACCATGTTGGTCAGGCTGGTCTTGAACTCCCGACCTCAGGTGATCCGCCCACCTTGGCCTCCAAAGTGCTTGGATTACAGGCGTGAGCCACCACGCCTGGCCCCAATGAAGAATTTCTAAATGAGTTCCAACACTAGAAAGATGGGAGAAGAAACCCAAAGCAGAAGGCTGCTCCTGGCAAAGAACTCTTCTTGCAGAAGAATCCTATAGACAAAAAGGGAGACCCAAAAGGAGGGCTGGGAATGGTGGCTCAAGCCTGTAATCCCAGCAGTTTGGGAGGCTGAGGCAGGTGGATCACTTGAAGCCAGGAGTTTGAAACCAGCCTAGCTAACATGGCAAAACCCCATCTCTACTAAAAATACAAAAATTAGCTGGGTGTGGTGGCGCATGCCTGTAATTCCAGCTACTCGGGAGGCTGAGGCATGAGAATAGCTTGAGCCTGGGAGGCAGAGGTGGCATTCCAACTTGGGTGACAGAGTGAGAGTCTGTCTCGATAAATAAACAAACAAAATAAATTGTTAACTATTCTCAGTTTTTGAATCATTATCTTAAGGCCTCCTTCCAAATTAGAAAGACATCCTTGCCTTTTGCTTTCATTTGATTTTTTTTAGCAGGTATTTACTGATCTATGCTATCTTGTTGGGGGGGCAAGTTTTTTTTTTTTTTTAACACATCTTAAGGCTTGATTTAACAAATAAAATATCTTATTTAACACTGTCTAACCTCCTAGCCAGATCTTAGAAAAAAGTAGATAAATAGGCAGGGTGCAGTGGCTCACGCCTGTAATCCCAGCACTTCGGGAGACTGAAGTGGGCAGATCACAAGACCATCCTGGCTAACACCGTGAAACCCCATCTCTACTAAAAATACAAAAATTTAGCTGGGCTTGGTGGCATGTGCCTGTAGTCCCAGCTACTCAGGAGGCTGAGGCAGGAGAATTGCTTGAACCCAGGAGGTGGAGGCTGCAGTGAGCCGAGATTGTGCCACTGCACTCCAGCCTGGGCGACACAGGGAGACTCTGTATCGAAAAAAGTAAAAAGTAGATAAATAATGCAAACAGAAGAACATGTTAACAAAACAGTTAAGACTTAGTGTTTAAAAAATTCCATTCCCTTCCACTGGAGACATGCTTTTTTTCCTTCTCCTGAAATAACTTTTTTTTTTTCTTTTTGAGACAGTATCACTCTGTTGCCCAGCCTGGAGCATGATGATAGTACAATCACAGCTCACTGCAACTTTGAACTCCTGTGCTCAAGTGATCCTCCCATCTCAGCCCAAGTAGTTGGAATTACAGGTGCAGAACACTATACCTAATTTTTTTATTTTTGTAGACAGGGTCTGGCTATATTGCCCAGCCTGGTCTTTAACTCCTGGACTCAAGCAATCTTCCTGCCTCAGCCTCCCATGTGAGAGCCATCACACATGGTCTGTGAAATTCTGTCCCTCTGAAAGTGGAAGGTATGGGAAAAAATGCACTCATAGAACTTTATCTGAAAGGTCCCTTAAGGACAGGTTTTCCCCACTACTTCCACAACCTTCACAGCAAATCTTACCGGTATTAAACACTTCCTTGAAATCATCTTTTTGGAAGTCTGGTAAAACTGGATTAATCCACTCTTGTACTTGAATACCAAGCTCCTTTGATAGTATTTTTATGGTTGTTGTCTTTCCACATCCGGGAGGACCTGTTATTAATAAAATAGATCCACCCTAAAATCAAATACAAATATTAATTAAAACCCCAAATCATTGGAATGCTAGAATATTATTTCTGACTTTTCATTCTGTAAGTATTTGCTGAATGTCTTGTATAAGCAGATTAAATTTCCCGATAATGCTTGCTGAAATAAACCAACTTTATTATTTTTCTTTTTTTTAACTGCCTTTTTACCCTTTTTGCATACAAAAACATCTGCAAACACAGAAATAAGAGAATCTTAATTCTTCAACTCTAAATTCTGCTTCTGATAATGTCTCAATTCTTGCATTATGTCCCACCCAAAGACTCCTTAGTAACCAAATTAAAACAACTAAGCTTGGACTAAATTAGGGAGGTGATGCCTGAAACAAAGATTTTTAGAGATTACCAGAACTCGCATAATTTATTCTTAATGTAGACATTTCACTGGATGATATAATTTACTGTCATACAAATATAATACTCTTATGGGAAGATCTCAGTTTGGTTATTAGATTCTTTAAGAAATGCATATTAAGATACATATTTGGGCAGAACAGGATGGCTCACACCTATAATTCCAGCATTTTGGGAGGCTGAAGCAGGTAGATTTCTTGAGCCCAGGAGTTTGGGACCAGCCTGGTTAACATGACAAAACCCTGCCGCTATAAAAGAAAAATACAAAACATTAGCTGGGTATGGTGGTGTGCGTCTATGGTCCCAGTTGGTCAGGAGGCTGAGGTGGGAGGATTGCTTAAGCCTGGGAGGTAGAGGCTGCAGTGAGCCAAGATCATGCCACTGCACTCCATTCTGGGCATTAGAGTGAGATCCTGTCTCAAAAAAAAAAAAAAAGAAAAAGAAAAAAAGAAACATATTTAACAGACATAGGACTCTAATGAGAGATTATAGGTTGTGGATCCCAGTAACATTCCTTCATACCATATATTAAATTTTAAAAAAAAGTCAAAGCTACAGAAATATCAGAAGATTTCCTACATACAATGGTAGGTTGTAATTCTTAATATTTTTTCTTTTATTTATGTATTTATTTTTTGCCAATCAGTTTGAGCTTATGAAGTTGCTCAGGTTAGCCTTGAACTGATGACCTCGCCTTCGCGAGCGCCATGACCTCCGGCTATTTTTTTCTTTTAATAAGAACCTCTGTACTCGGACAAAGAGAGCCTGTTCCACTTTTGAAAAGGGTAGTGCATGAGTTATAGCGCTGTTCACTATGAGTTCAAAGTATATGGATCAACAATATACAGTCCACATATAGACAGTAGTCTCATAAAATCATAATGAAGCTGAAAAATTCCCAGTAGTAATCCAAAACATCATTCACGTTTGTGGTAATGCTGGTGTACACAAATCTACTGTGCTGCCAACTGTATAAAAGTGCAACACGTATATCTCATTGTGTAATACATAATGCTTGATAATTATAATAAACAACTATGTCACTGGTTTATGTATTCACAATGCTGTATCTTTATTAGAGTCTACTTGTTCTTATTAAAAGAAAAAAAAAAAGTTGGCCAGATATGGTGGCTCACACCTGGAATCCCAGCACTTTGGGAGGCTGAGGAGGGTGGATCATCTGAGTCCAGAGTTTGATACCAGCCTGGCCAACATGGTGAAACCCCGTCTCTACTAAAAATAAAATACAAAGATTAGCTGGGCGCGGTGGCATGTGCCTGTAGTCCCAGCTATTCAGGAGGCTGAGGCAGGAGAATCACTTGAACCTGGGAGGCAGTGAGCCGAGATTGTGCCACTGCACTCCAGCCTGGCGCCTGTCTATGAAACTCTGTCTCAAAAAATATACATACAAAAATTGGCCAGGCAAGTTTGTGCATGCCTGTAATTCCAGCTACTTGGGAGGCTGAGGCAGGAGAATCACTTGAACCTGGAAGGCGGAGGGTGTAGTGAGATCACACCATTGCACTCCAACCTGGGCAACAAGAGTGAGATGCTGTCTCAAAAAAAAAAAGTTAACTATAAAACAGTCTCAGGCAAGTCCTTCAGGAGGTACTGCAGAAGAAGGCACTGTTGTATAAGACATGACAGCTCCTATAATATGTAGAGGTGGAAGACAGTGCTATTAATGATCCTAACCCTGTGCAGGCCTAGGCTAATGTGTGTGTTTTTGTCTTCATTTCTAATTTTAAAAACAGTTTAAAAAATAGTTAAAAAAGTAATACAAGAGAAGTTTATAGAATAAAGACATAAAGAAAGAAAACACTTTCATATAGCCCTACCATGTATTTGTATTTTAAGTTAAATGTTATGAAAGAATCTAAAAGTTTATAAAGTAAAAAAGCTACATAAAGTCCTTAAAATGGCCTATACAAAAAGTTCCAGTAAGTGAAGTTTATTTAAACAAAAAACTTTTTAAGTTTAGTATAGTCTAAGTGTACAATGTTTATAAAAGTCTACAATGGTGCACAGTAATGTTCTTAGACCGTCACTAACCACTCATACTCACTGACTTACCCAAAACAACTTCCAGTCCTACAAGTTCCATTCATGGTAAGTTCCCTATATAAATGTATAAGAGCATTTTTAATCTTTTATAACCATGTTTTACCAAACTTTTTTTTTTTTTTGAGACAGAGTTTCGTTCTGTTGCTCAGGCTGGAATGCAGTGGCATGATCTTGGCTCACTGCAACTTCCATCACCTGGGTTCAAGTGATTCTTGTGCCTTCCCAGTAGCTGGGACCACAAGCACATACCAACATGCCTGGTTAATTTTTGTATTTTTAGTAGAGACGGGGTTTCACCATGTTGGCCAGGCTGGTCTTGAATTCCTGACCTCAGGTGACCCACCCGCCCCGACCTCCCAAAGCGCTGGGATTATAGGCATGAGCCACCAAGCCCTGCCTTTTTACTGTACTTTTTGATGGTATGGTTTAGGTATGTTTATTTATACACCTAGTTCCCACTGTGTTACAATTGTCTACAGTATTCAATACAGTAACATGCTGTACAAGTTTGTAGCATGGGAGCAAGAGGCTATACCATACAGCCTAGGTGTATACCAGGCTATACCACAAGTTTGTGTAAGTTTTATATTAAGTATATTCTATGATATTCTCATAACAATGAAATCACCTAATGATGCATTTCCCAGAATGTATCCCCATCATTAATTGAAGCATGAGTGCACATTAATTAAGGTATCTTTAAACAGAAACACATATAAAACAACATTATATATTGATGGGCTGACAAAAATGTTGTGACCAGAGGTTGGCAGAAACCTAATTTAGTGTTTTCCTTAGAAACAGTGGTTCAGTATTTTGCTAATTCAGCAACTTTACAGAACATAACTACCTTAAATAATGAGGACTATAATATCAGACAGATCACTTCTTCACAAAGAGAAAGAAGTCTATGCACAGGTATTACAAATTTTTTCATGTAATATACTTAAGTGCCTGTTTTCTGACAGAGTAGGTATAGCCACATAGCAAATTTCCCTTCCAATAAGAGAACTAGGAAGCACTTTCTTATCAGAACATTGTAACATGAAGACTTTTGTTAATCTCGTTGTCTACCCTTTAACAGAGTTTTACGGAATTTTGAAGGAAAGAAGTTGTCCTGAAAACTTAAACTCTGCAAATATTTGGTGTATTATACTTAAAATAAATTTTGAAAAGCAAATTTAGTTTGCCCATTGATAAATCCAGATCCTACCTTTTTTTTTTTTTTTGAATAAAAATGTTTTCTAATTACTGACATCACTGAAACTTTTGTAAAATAAAGGGTAAGTGATTTGGGCTAGGCATGGTGGGTCTCATGCCTATTAATTCCAGCACTGTGGGATGCCAAAGTAGGAGGGCTACTTGAGGCCAGGAGTTCAAGACTAGTGTGGGCAACACCACAAGACCCTATCTCTACAAAAATTTTTTTTAAAAATTAGCCAGATGTGGTGGCACATGCTTGTAGTCCCAGCTACTCACTGCAGCCTTGAACTCCTGGGCTCAAGCCAGCTCTCTGAGTACCTGGGACTACAGGTTATAGGAAATGCAGGATAGAACAAGTTAATCATCATTAGGAGGAAACAACCTAACAAATCCAGAGTGTGAGACTTCTACAAGTCAACTGGCCTGATCCCCTTCATAAGCCAACGTCTTGGAGAAAAAGAAAGGGTTAAGTAAACTATTTCTAGATTCAGAAAAAGAAAAGGCCTAAGAGATGTAACAACCAAATTCAATGTGTGCTCCTTGATTAGATCCTGTTTAAAACAAACCAGCTACAAAAGACATTTTGGGGACAACTGCAGAAATGTGAATATAAATTGATCATTAGATAGTGTTAGGGCATCCTGGTTAATTTTGTTAGAGAGAATAATGGTATACATAATTAATTAGGAAAATCATTAAAAAAAAAAAACAGACATATGGAGGTATCCAAAAGTCTAACTGAAATGTCACAGTTTATAATTTACTTTAAAATATCTAACGGGGAAACAATGAGTATATTCTGTATATATGAGTACTTGTATTATTCTCTTTTCCTTTATGCTTAAAAAAATCTCAAAATAAAAACATTTAAAAATGTTTTTTTGAGATTGATGGAAGGAGAGATATTTAAAAATGTTTTTATTTTGAGATTGATGGAAGGAGAGATATTCTACCTTGGGGGTTCAGGGTAATTGTGTAGTAAGGAAGTGAAACAAAAAACATCAGTCTAAAATAAATAATGACCGTTTTTGGCTATATTTGGTATAGAAATTAATGTGTAATTTGCCTGCTTTCCTTAGCCTGAGATAATCTGATGTGCTAAATACACTAGCATCCTAATTGGTTTACTGATTCTTTATACTAATAAGAAGACATAAAGAAAAAGAGTTAAAAATAAAGAGAAAAACTCAAAGTCTCTGAGTCTTTTAGTGAAGGTGGAAGTAGTAAAGTCAGGAAGCTTTCTTTTTTTCATTTTTCTTTTTTTTAACGGTCTTGCTCTGTTGTCCAGGCTAGAGTATACCAGTGCGATCATAGCTCACCACAGCTTCCACCTCCTGGGCTCAAGTTATCCTCCCACCTCAGCCTCCCAAGCAGCTAGGCACCACAATGCCCAGCTAATTAGCTATAGAGACAGAGTCTCCCCCTATGTTGCTCAGGCTACTCTAAAACTCCTGGGCTCAAGTGATCCTCCCACCTTGGCCTCCCCCAAAGTGCTGGGATTACAGGTATGAGTCACCACGCCCTGCCAGGGAACTTTCTACTGGAGATCTAGACTTATTTAGAACAAAATCGTCATAAAATTTCAACTTCTAACAACACACTTTAAGTCAGAAAAATTTAAGTCAGAAAAATATTTGATGTTAAATATTTTAAAACACATTTCTTAATTACCTGTTTTGGTTGCCTTTCTAAGACTTGAGCTTTTAACCAGGTTTCAACTTCTTCAATTTTCTTTTTATGCACAGCAAGTTCAAGCTACAACAAAAATTTCAAATTTAAAACAAAACATTTTAACTGAAGATTTTTTGTTACATCAGCACATATTAACCTAAGTATTATTAAAGAAAAGTAACAAACCAGTAACAATCTACATAATGAAATGGTCCTTTTGATTACTGTTTGAATTTTTATATTATTTTAGAAAAATTCTATTCTTAAGTTGATACCTCTGTATGATAATTTTGGCAAGTTTGTAATTACAACATTTTTTAAAATCCAGAAATACATTTGAGAAGACAGTACAGAGGAGTATTACATTTAGTACAAAAATTTTAAAACAGATCAATTCTATGTTGGGATTAAATTAAATCTAAAAGAACTAATGATACAACTTTAGAAAAAGTATTGAGATAAGTCTGAGCCTTGGAAAATAAAAAAATCCAGAATTTTTCTAACACTTAGATTCTTATGAGTAAAAAATCTGAACATCCTTCTGCTTCCTATCCACCCTATGCACCCTGAAATTAAATTATGTAGATATGTCTGCATGCTTTTTAGTACCTGAGTTTCTGGTTTATATTTATCCACCCATGGTTCATTTCCAGATAGATATTCTTCTGAATTTTCTAAACCATAAATCTGTTCTAACGAAGACAGATTTCCTCTTTTTCCAGCTGGAAATATGTTACTTTCTAATGTAGAAGGCCCATTTTTTCTTCTATGACTTGAGTTGTTCACACCTAATGATGTCGCAGCAACAGTAGAGATGCCTCTACACTCTAGCAAATCATCGAATGATGGGTCAACCCAGTCTGTTACCTGGAAAAAAAGAAATCAGGTAAATATAATCACATTTTTTCCCATCTACTTCCTATATAACTGAACTACTCTGGAAACAACATATTCACAAATTTATAACCTTTAAAATCTTAAAAAAAATTTTTTTTTGAGACAGTGTCTTGCTTTGTCACCCAGACTGAGACTGTACCAGTACAGTGGTACAATCTCAGCTCAAGCAATCCTCCCACCCCAGCCTCTTGAGTAACTGGGATTATAGGCATGCACCACCATGCCCAACTAATTTTTTTGTATTTTTTTGTAGAGATGGGGTTTAGCCATGTTGCCCATGCTGGTCTCAAACAACTCTTGGGCTCAAGCAGTCTTTCCACCTCAGCCTCCCAAAGAGCTGGGATTACAGGTATGAGCCACCACACCCAGCCTAAAAATCTTATAAATTAGCTCTTTTTAAATAAAACTGTCTCTCTCTGTAATAGCTGTTTTTCTACTTTACAGTAAGTGCAAGTGAATACTTGACCATAATGATGAATGCCACATAAAGGAGTAAAGAACACAAACTTATTTTTATTAATTGTAATCTTCCCATCATAAAGACTAGAATGATTTTTTTTTTAGCTCTCTGTAGGACTGAAACATAAATATTAAATTACCTATTAAAAAAAGCAAAACAAAATAAAGGATTAAATGATATTATTTTAACAGAAAGAGCAGTAAGAAGAGTAACACATCTACCTTGACCAGGTTAATACATTCACAAACTAAGAACAATCTCATACATCCAAATAATCCGTATCAGCTTTAAGACTTAATGAAGGTACAGGCCAAGGATCCTAAAGTTGTAATCTGTAATTAAGACAGGATTACACTTTTTTCTTCAGTGCATGAAGCAACTAATGTTTTTATAATCGAGGCAGGCTTTCCTCGGGGGGAACTGTCACTCAGAAATGCCTAGGAACGGTTGGCTGTGGTGACTCATGCCTATAATTCCAGCACTTTCAGAGACAGAGGCAGTGGTAGTAGGATAGCCTGAGCCCAGGAGTTTGAGCACAGCTAGCATAATATAGGGAGATCCCCAACTCTACAAAAAATAAAAAATTAGCCAGGCATGGGTGGTGCACACCTATACTGCCAGCTACTTGGGAGAATCACTTAAGCCCAAGAGGTTAAGGTTTCAGTGAAACATGATCACCCCATTGCACTCCAGCCTGGGCAACAGAGTGAGACCCTGTCTCAGAAAAAAAAAAAGTTTTGCTAATAATTAGAAATTATTAGCTAACAATTACAAATAATTAGAAATTAGAAAATTTTAATAGATTTTTAACACTCTTAATATAAATCTAGAAAAATACAGCTTAAGATCTGGTTGTACAATCTACTGCCTGGCTAACAACAAAAAATGATATTTCCCTTCAAGAATATTCAGCTATATTTGTGAGCTATTCATTAAACAATGTTCCTCTCTTGGAGAAAACAAACCAGAAGTTGAAGCTGAAAGTAGCTTAGGGGAGACAATGTGGGGCTTATCAATACTTTATGAATGCTAAGTCACACTTCACTCTTCTTTTAAGACAGAGAGTTAGGAATATTATCAGCAGTGGATTAAAAACGGAAGACCACTGGGAAAAATTTCAGTCATAGCTACCTGACTCCTTTCATCCTCATCAAAAAATTGTGACTAGTACTATAATTTTGGCCTCTTTTATATTTTTGAGTGTATAAAAATATCTTTTTGTGATAGTAAACCTTTTGATAGCAGTTCTGATTTGGAAATTATTTATACATTTTATAGTTTCATTTCTTACGTAACTGTGAACTCCCATATACTGAAAAAAAGAGAAAGATAAAAAGCAAAGTTAAGTAATTTACTTAACATCAAATAAAATTTAGCCTCCACTTAGGGAAAAGGCTACCCTGCATGCATGAAACTGATCCCCATCCCACCTTAACCCCTATCTTGCTGAGAACTGACACACTGAATCACATTACTTCTAAGAAGCAGGGCTTTTGATTAAACTGTAACACCAAATACCACTCATATTTCTCTCTTCTATGTTCTTTCATTCAAATGTTTTCAGTCTTTTCTTTGTGACTGGGACTGTAAACACTTTCAAAATTAAGGTTGTGCTTTTAGAGAACACTTGTTTCACAACTTATTACCAGATTTGCATAAACCACTAATTACAATAGATACTGGGCTCTATTACTTTGATAGCAGTAATAAGTTATTAAGAATGTATATAAAAATTTATAGTTATTTTAAGGCAATTATTTCACGGCCATTCTAGTGTATCATACCTTTGTGGAAGATACCTTTGGTCTAAGAAAAGTTTTTGACATTATAAACTGTAACAGTTCCCATCCGTAGTATAGGACCAGTAATACATTAAACTCTAATTCACCTAGGGGAAAAAAAAAGAAGCCCTCAAATGAAAAAGAACTGTAAATACAGAATTATAGTTATAAATGTATACTGATACAATCAACAACACAATAAAGGCTCAATAATTAGTGAAAACAGTCAATTTAAGTGATACAGGAAATCAAAATTCTAAAATAATTTTACTTTTAATGACTATAACTGGATAAATAAACTACTTGTGGTGTTACAAACGGAGTTTTTCACATGAACTCAATGACGTATTTGAGAAAAACAGAAAAAAAAAATTCACAAACTGTTCTACTTACCTTTTGTCATTAAAATCAGGCAATTCTATTTGAGTAGTTTATATACTGAAAATTAAAGTTTTCCTTATTTCAAATTACAGTTGCAGTTCTTCATTTCCAACATTTCCCAAAAAATAAAATACAATGAATTCACTTGCTGTGGACAAAGAATTTAAATCTTACTGTAAAACTGTTTTCATTTGATCATGTTATTAGAAAATTTCTTAGTAACACTGTTTTTCAATTGTGTTTTCAAATTCTTAAACCTTTATGCAAACTAGTGAATTCAACAATTTTAAGTTAGCCAGAAGAGAATTTTAATGCCTACAAATTTATACACTGGAAAGTATACTGAACTATTTTACAGTTTGGAGCACACATCGCCTATAAACACCCCTACGTACTAGAAAACAAATTGCTGGCCTTTCGTCCCAAATCGTTCACGGTTAGACTTTGACGTTTCAAATGGTACACAGTTGGTAAAAAAACAAACAAAACATTTGAGTAAATATAGTTTGTAGCTCGAAATAAAAGATGCAGACTGTTGTCACCGTCAGGACTCTATTCACTCTTTGAAAACAAGATTGACAATTACCTCCTTTTAAAAGCAGGTAACTGTCCCTGAAGATGCCAGATTCCTGAAATGAGATGTCAGAGGTAGACCTTCAAGACTATTCCTAGCCGACCCACCACCACCCCACACAGTGAACAGGGAATACTAAGGTCAAATATTCGTCCAACGTAATCCTGTAATCAGTAGGGTGCCGGGTTGAGCTCGCAAATCCCCGCTGCAGGACTGGGCTCTGCACCCTCAATCTTCTCATCCCCAGATGGGACGGGCGGGTCAGGAGGAGGAGCGACGAGAGCCCAAGAAGGCTTGAAGGCAAAGATAGACTCGCGTCTCTAAGACATATACATATTATAGCGGCAGCCGCGGCGGCCTTACGTTCCCGGAGCTGCATTCCCTTTTCGGCGAAGAGCGGAGGCGAACAGGATCTACCCCGAGTGAAAGGGTAGCCACCTGGCCGTATCCGGGCCTCTCTGAGGTACGGCCTCCCGGGGACCTTTCAAAATGGTCGGCGCATCCGCGACGCAACCGAAGGGCGGGGCCCGCCGGAGTGTGTGACTTAGGCATCCAGCGCACTGCCTGACCCGAAGCACCGACCCGAGTTATGCCCACCCTTCAACTTTGCGATGGAAACGTGTTAGGGAAAGCTAGGTAACTAGTGGGCCGCAGCTGGGCCGCCGGGGCAGGCCGGGGACGCCGCGGTGGGCCTGGAGGTCCTTGGGGCCCGTGGGCTCTCACTGCCGCCCGCCCCTTCCGGCTCCTCCCCGTAGTGCAAAGGGCGCTTGAGCGAGGTGATCGGAGCAGTTGCAGCGAGGACCATGTTGCTTCCGAACATCCTGCTCACCGGTCAGGGCGCGCGGCCGGGAGGGGCTGGGAGGGGGCAGGCGAGGTTTGCGGAGTGCTCTGGGCCTCGGGCCCCGCTCAGTGTTCTGTTTGGAGGCCTCCCGAGGGCCGCGAGGCGGCTGCAGCGCCCCGGGAGCCGACCCTCACGGGCTTGGCAGGAGGTGGGGGAGGGGATGCGGAACGTTAATTCCGGTGGCCCGAGACTTCCGGGGGAGGAGGAGAGAGGTCGGCAGATCAGCTCTCCTGCTTGGCAGTCTGCTTAGTCTTTCTGAATCTGGTATTTTGTGTGTAAAATGGGTTGTTGATTCTTTGGCAGGGTTGGCTTTGGGATTTTTAGCGAAATAGTGTAAGGTCACATCTGTTCTCCAGTAGAGCCATTAATGGTGGAGGCCTCACTCCTTAGGCCTCCCTGGGCCATATTTTATTTTTTCCTTTGCTCCTCAGATCAGATTTCGGGAAATGACTTTAGATGTTTGTGGTGTGACTAAATTACTGTATGCCTTTGTTGAGTTACATCAGAGGTTCTCCCCAGCCCCTTAAAGGAGAGGAATCTAGTGAGCATTTCGGGTCGTTTCTCGCGTAGGAGTGGGTCTTTGAAGCCATACTCAGGGTGCGTGTTACCGGTGAAGGAACTAAAATGCTGCTGCGTAACGACTTCATCGAATATTTTAGTCCTTAAAGTGTTTATTAAATTGTAGACCATTCGTGGAAAAATCTAATGCATGTAGATTTTATTGGAACGTACCGAAAAATTAAGAGTCGGTGGAAATAAAGCAGTAAAGTTACAGCGTTCATCTAAACATAAGATGATTTGCAGCGCACAAGACATGTCTGTTTCTGAGAGGTGCCGATTAACCAGGCCACAAATAATGTTTAGCATTTAAGATTTCTTAAGTGGAAGATATCACATCTTTTTGCATGGATCAAACATAGTGCCTTGGTTATTAATATTGTGTCATTGTCAAAACTTTAAAGTGAGCATTTTATTGAAAACATAATTGAGTCCAGGGTTCAGACTTGGTGAATTATAGTGGACTTGAGGTAACTGTTAATCTCTTCCGTGTGGGAACTGGATTATCCCTGTTATCTTTATGCTCAAGTTTAATTTCAGGGATGTTAAACCTGAATAGCTGAAAATTACAAATTTGATCTTGAAGTGTAATTATAATAGGTATCAAAAGGGGAAGGTAAGAAGCAATGTATAGTATGTAGTATTGTCATTTATGTAAAAGGGAATATATGTTGTATTTATGTATGTATATACAAAGTATGTATATACATGTACATTCATATGCAACATAAATAGGGTTTCTCTGGGAAGATATACATGTATGGGAAACTGGTTCACAGTGGTTGTCTCTAGGGAAGGGTGCAAGGGGTAAGACTGCTTACATTTTAACATGAACAGTTTTTGTTTTTGTTTTGGGACAGTCTCATTATGTTGCCGGGGCTGGTCTCGAACTCCTGAGCTTAAGCAATCCCCCTGCCTTGGCCTCCCAAATTGCTGGGATTACAGGCATGAGCCACCACACCTGGCTATGAACAGTTTCTTAATCTATTTAAATTAAAGCAAATATGCCGGATGGGTGGCTCATGCCTGTAATCCCAGTACTTTGGGAGAGGGAGGTGGGCAGATTGCTTGAGCTCAGCCTAGGCAACATAGCGAAACCCCATCTACAAAAATTAACCAGGGCATGGTGGTACACACTATGGCCTCGTCAACTGGACATGCTGAGATGGGAGGATTGCTTGAGCCCGGGAGGTTAAGGCTGCAGTGAGCCAAGTGCCACTGCACTCCACCTGAGCAACAAAGAGATATCTTGTCTTTAAAAAAAAAAAGTAAATAAATGACTGTAATTGATTTGAGGTGGTTAATTTTATTCTGAACAGTTCCATGGTAGTAGCAGGCAGTTTGAATCTGCGACAGAATCTGCTGAGCCTCACCCTTGAAGGATCAATAACTGGGTAATATTTTGACATTCAGTTAGCTTTGGAAAATTTTTATTAGATCATAGACATATTGAGGTGGCTCATGCCTGTAATTCCAGCACTTTGGGAGGCTGAGGTGGGCGGATCACCTGAGGTCAGGAGTTCGAGACCAGCCTGGCCAATATGGGGAAACCTCGTCTCTAAAAATTCAAAGATTATTAGCTGGGTGTGGTGGCAGATGCCTGTAATTCCAGCCACTCAGGAGACTGAGGCAGGAGAATCACTTGAATCTGGGAGGTGGAGGTTGCAGTGAGTTGAGATTTTGCCACTGCATTCCAGCCTGGGTGACAAGAAGGAAACTCCATCTCAAAAAAAAAAACTTACATATGATTGCTAATTAGAAGATTTTTCATTTCATTCATTGAGAACCTTAAGGGCAGAGACCAGGGGAGACTCTGTCTCAAAAAAAAAAAAAAAAAAAAAGGGCAGAAGGTGGGCTACAGTGTGATGAGTAGTATTTCACAAACAATATTTTTCTGTGGCTTATCTTACAGGTACACCAGGGGTTGGAAAAACCACACTAGGCAAAGAACTTGCATCAAAATCAGGACTGAAATACATTAATGTGGGTGATTTAGCTCGAGAAGGTAAGGGACACTTTGATGTTAGATTTATTATTATTATTTTTTAAAGTCTGATAGCGGAGTGTTAGTGCTAGGTATTGTCAGAGGGTACAAAAAACAGCTTGCCATTAAAGAATATATACTCTTAGGTAATCCACAGAAATATTAAGTGTCTAATGCTATGTCCTGGTTATTTTGACCATTTTCCCTTCTGTCTTCAAAATGGCTAGCAATTCTTGTGAATTGTTGGGAAGGCTCCTATGAAGAGACTGGATTTAGGATAGGTAGAATGTGAATAAGGAGAATGTTTTTAAGTTGAGCAAACAAAGGTTTGGTACTGCTAAACATGTATATGAGCACAGTGAGTGTATTGGTCTCACTGGAAGGAGATTATTTTGAGTTCAGGCATAGGACATGACTATGCTATCTTAGATTAGTTTGAGATTTGCATGCAACTGCATATATTGTAAGATGATAGATGTTATTTATTTTACCCTGTTTTCCCCTAATCTTTTATTGCTCCCTTATTTGTGTCTTCATCTTTTTATAGTCAATGATGATTTGTACATGGTAGGAACTCCATAAATTTAAGTAAAGGGACTTAAAGTATGCCTCATTAAAATTGAGAAAACATAGTTTGATTTTTTTAAAATTTTTTACAGTTAAATCTATGTTAATAGATTTAAACATTTTTAAGTTCCTGACAGTTGCTACTAAAGTAACTATTTCAGATTGATCTAATGTACATATTTTTTTCAAATGATCTAAAGTCTGATCATCGGATATCATGGAGTCTGGCAAGATGGCTTCTCCCAAGAGCATGCCGAAAGATGCACAGATGATGGCACAAATCCTGAAGGATATGGGGATTACAGAATATGAGCCAAGAGTTATAAATCAGATGTTGGAGTTTGCCTTCCGATATGTGACCACAATTCTAGATGATGCAAAAATTTATTCAAGCCATGCTAAGAAAGCTACCGTTGATGCAGATGATGTGCGATTGGCAATCCAGTGCCGTGCTGACCAGTCTTTTACCTCTCCTCCCCCAAGAGATTTTTTATTAGATATCGCAAGGCAAAGAAATCAAACGCCTTTGCCATTAATCAAGCCATATTCAGGTCCTAGGTTGCCACCTGATAGGTATTGCTTAACAGCTCCAAACTATAGGCTGAAATCTTTACAGAAAAAGGCATCAACTTCTGCAGGAAGAATAACAGTCCCGCGGTTAAGTGTTGGTTCGGTTACTAGCAGACCAAGTACTCCCACACTAGGCACACCAACCCCACAGACCATGTCTGTTTCAACTAAAGTGGGGACTCCCATGTCCCTCACGGGACAAAGGTTTACAGTGCAGATGCCTACATCACAGTCTCCAGCTGTAAAAGCTTCAATTCCTGCAACTTCAGCAGTTCAGAATGTTCTCATTAATCCATCATTAATTGGGTCCAAAAACATTCTTATTACCACTAATATGGTGTCATCACAAAACACTGCCAGTGAATCATCAAATGCATTGAAAAGAAAACATGAAGATGATGATGATGATGATGACGACGACGACTATGATAATTTGTAATCTAGTCTTGTTGCATATAACGTGTACTTGGTCTTGAATTTATTGTACTGATATTAAACAAGCATGCTGGATGTTTTCAAGTTGTGTTTTAGAAAACTTTAATAATATTTAATGAGTAAATACAGTTACCATACTTTTCAATTTAAATGAAGGTTCAGCCTTAAAAGTGTAAGAAAAATAAAGTTGTCATTCAGTAACTTGATTGTTGGTGCTTTGGCAATTATGTTTTTTAAAAGCAGTTTTCTCCCTGTTGTCACCAAGAGGAGTAACAGTTGACAGTTGCAGCAACTTGTAGTACTGCATTCTATTATTACCATTAGCATGTCACCTCAAGTGTCTTCAGATATATAGATCATAGTAGGCTCTCAAGTGTGTATGTCACTCTTGTGATCCATTCTCTCAGATTGCTGAAGTATAACCATGACTCCTCTTTGGAGAGACCACTTGGTCAGGATTTTTATTCATAGTGAATTCTTACCTGCTTTGATTATCTTTCTCAATCACCAAACTTCCTTGTTCCCATTTTTCTGTCCCTTTGGTTATATTAAGAACCCTTAGTGTCTCTAGTATGTCTTCCACTTAAAAAATTATCAGTGCCTCTTTTTTCAGAGCATCTTTG